ACGTTCTAAAATTTTTATTCTCCTTTTTTTCTTCTTCTTTTTCTTCTTTTCTTCTTTTTCTTCTTCCTTGTCTTCTTTTTCTTGTTCTGTTTCTTATTCTTTTTATGTCGACATGACTCTGTCTATCTTTCAATGTGCCTCTAGTAAGTTGCCGTTTCATAATTTTCGTGGTCTTCCTACCAATGGTCTTCCAATTGGGGAACTGTCTATTACTGTCTTTATTATTCTATTTATTATCTATTTTTCTACCCTTCTATTTCTTACCAAGTGCTTAATGTTCTCTACCTTGCATCTACATCGTATCTCTGTACTTCTAGCTCTATCTCATACTGTTTTACCATCAATTTTTATAAGTGTTTTCATCTCTGCTTTTTCTAACATCCTTTTTGTTCTCTCTGTGTCGGATGGTGTTTCTGTCGCGTATCTCATAATTGGTCTGATGACTGATATGTAAATCCTCCATATTTTTCTGATATTTTTATTTTTCTCTGTTGTTTCATTCAGGCAACCTGAGGGCTCTGTTTGCTGTATTCACTTGATATTCCACTTCGATTTCGAGCTTTTCATAGCTAGATAATCTAATATATAGATAGTTAAACTACATCACTTGTTCTATTATCTGACCTTCCAGCTCCAATTTACATAATATAACTTGCTGTTATAACTGTAAATTTTCTTTTTTTGGGAAATTAACATGTTAAATTTGCTGGCGGTTATATTAAATTGATGCAGCATACGTTGTAAATCATCTACACTTTGAGGGAGTAGTATTGTATCGTCTGCCTAGCAGATTAATTTAAATTGTTTTTCTCCCATTTGGTATCCGTTTTTAGTTTTGAATTTTTTATTATTTAGTCCATAATAAGGTTTAAAAATAAAGGACCTAGGCTAATTACCCTGTCTTATCCCATTGCCAGTTTCAATAGGGTCAGTTAATTCTTCTTCTATTTTTACTTTTATTGTGTTGTTTTGGAAAATTTTTAATCCTTTTGGATAATTCAATTGTTATAATAGATAATATGCATCATAAGATTTTTACTTTATTGTAAGATTCTTTGATACTTATTTCATTTTGTTTCGTAATAGTTAACTTAATTCCTAAATGAATTTAGTACCTGCTACACTTGCTACACTCGTACTAAATATTTGGTCGAGGTCGAAGATTTTCCGTATCTACTTACCTTCCTGCACATAATTACTGTGTTTTTTCAGGTTGACATTATGACCTCACTTTCTATATTCTTTCTTCTTTTTGTAATTGTCTGTTATTGGAGAATTCAAAAACGAAAACGGAAAAAACTCTGTCATTGTTTAAAAAAAAACGATGACGTCATATATACGAAAATGGTGATATCAACCTTACATTCCATTGTAGCAAACGTATCAAGTTCAGTTAGAATTTAAAAATCGACCTGTAGCAGCATTTTATTAAGCCATTCTTAACTAAAAAAATATTAAATTTAATCCAGCCTTAACTTCCTTTTTTTATTTATTCCGTTCGATCACAATTATGAAATATTATAATTAGTTTGCTAATATTCATTATGCCCTGATATAATATATCCAAAATATTAACAACATATTAATAAAACTTTATTATGGTATTATTATTTATAAATTTCTTTTGTTACAGAGGAGCTCAAGTTCCTAAATTTTTACAAAAAAAATATGGCACCAAAACAGTGGAGGGTCATACTCCTAAGTAAGTTTACACTAATATTATTATCGCTCATAAGTTTATGCTAATTTTAATAGTGAAATAAACGAGAATATTGTTCAGTTTTTTCTTGTACTTTTTTTCTTTTATATAGTTTTGGTAATAAAACTCGGATCTTGGAGCTTAGCGTATCAACAAACAAACAAGGTCTCTTAAAAATATTATTTGAATTGTTAACGAAGTCAGCATGCATCAATGCTGTAGCCAATATGTACGTAAATGGAAAAAGTGTTGTTAAAATGGATTCTAAAATTTTAGATCCATTTCCTGTTACAAAATGCTTGAGGCAAGGATGTTTTTTATCTCTTTTATAAGGTTTTATGGGCAACGATTTACAAATGCAGAAGTGTTAAGAAGGCTACAAAAGGATTGCGAGGTCATAAAGCACATCAAAACAAGAAAGCTGGAATATTTAGGCCACATTACACGCACCCAGAGGTGCGAAATATGAGATATTAAGGCTCATAATGCAAGGTAAAATCAAGGGTAAAAGATCCATAGGAAGACGAAGAATTTCCTGGCTGAGAAACCTAAGAGAGTGGTATAGTTGCAGCTGAATAGATCTTTTTAGAGCAACCGCCAATAAGGTATGGATAGCTGTGATGATAGAAAACCTCCGATAGGAGAAGGAACTACAAGAAGAAGAATAGGCAGGTTTTATCGAGTAACTGACACCAGTCCCACTGGCACAACAGCGCTGGCATGGTAGTGATATCATGTAAACACTTGTTTGCGCCAGTCCAGTTCTGTTTGGCAGCAATGTCTCGAATAGAGAGCTGGTCTATTTTTCATGCCAGTGGCCCTCGTTTGTAGCAACTGGGGTGTCAAGGAGACTGGGCCCAGCTACTGGATACTTGTAAACGTGCCTGTCGACCATTGTTCTAGTTAAGCACTGGTATCTCAGTAAGACTGGTGCCAGTTGACTTGACTATTCAAAATCTATATTGACAAAGCATTAAGCAACTGGAAGAGAAAATGCACAGTAATAGAAACAAGTACATAACAAATCTTTTCTTCGCAGACGATCAAGTGATTATGGAAAACGATGAGGAAGACTTGCATTATATGATTTGAGAGTTAACCTAAGAATCGAAAATTGTGAACTCACCATCAACATTAACAAAACAGAATATCTTAGAATAAAGAACGAAAAAAGGTAGTAGTGATAAGGAATGAGGGAGTATCGAAACGGGACAGTCAGTAGAAAATACAACAAGGCCTAAATGTGGTACAAACAGTACACTCATTACTTTGATCTGCTAAAATTAGTTTACAAAAAAAAATGACAATCTACGACAACAGATTTGATACAAAAAAATGACAAAAAATTTTGACCTACGGATCTTAATGTTGGCAAATGACGATGAAAGAGAAGAAAAAACTGGAAGTGGTAGAAATGAATTATCTGAGAAGAGTGTGTCGAATATCCATACTTGATTACATTTCGAATAAAGAAGTAATAAGATAAACAGGAAGGATTTACAATACGGTAGGTACTATAGAATCCAAACAATTTTTATGGTACCGGCAAGTAATGCGAATGGAAGACGAACGATGGCCAAAACACGCCTTACACTATGTTCTGCGAAATTAAAGAAGGAGGGGATGACCAGCATTAGAATATAGAAAAAGAAATAGAGGAATAATGAGAGATAAAGCCATAAATGAGTAGGAATGGACCAACCGAAAAAGGTGATGATCGAAGGAGATTTAGAAAAGCGAGTGTATTGATAGATTTAATAGCGAATTTGTAACTTCAAGGAGTGAAATGGATTAAAAAAACAATAGTTCTAGGAATCTATGGTCGGTATTTCGAAAAAAAAGATGGACATACGGCTTTAAGAAGAATAGAAAAATGAAACAAGAAGAGTAGTATAGTAGAGTAGTAAATATTTCATTGTAAGTAAAGAAAAATACTTCTTCTTTAAGTTCCATCTTCTATCGAAGGTTGGAAATCATCATGGCTATGCGGACTCTGTTGACTGCCGCTCTAAAAAGTTCTGCACTACTGCATTCAAACCATTCCCTCAAGTTCTTAAGCCAGGATATTCTTCGTCTTCCCACATTTCGCTTTCCTCGGATTTTGCCCTGCATAATAAGTTGTAATAATGCGAATTTTTGCCCTCTCATCACATGTCCCAAGTACTCAAGTTTTCGTCTTTTAATAGTTAATATTATTTTCGCCTCATTTCCTATCCTTCTAGTTACTTCCATATTTGACATTCTTTGAGTCCATGATATTCGTGAAAGAAAAAATACTATATAACAACAAAAAAGAAAGGAAAACAACTGCTTGTTGAAGCAAATGAAGATCAAATGAAAAATAAATATGATTCTATAAAAATAAATCTAGGGTATTCGTGGTACAAATACTATACGTGTTCGGTACTAGAAAAACAACAACATTCATAAAAAAACTAGATGATTCTTGGGTAAGTTCAACGCCGATTGAGAAGTAAATCACCGGAAGAATCGCTTAGTGATTTATATGAGTAAATTGTTGATGTATAGTTTTCAACACATTATTGCAGAAAACCTTATCTTAGGCTTATTACAAAGTCATTTGTAATTGCGTGGTGTCATTACGTTTCGAGAGGTGTATCTAACACAAAGAAGTAGATCAAAACAAAGGAATATTTATTTATGATTATACCTGCTACACCTGCTTTTGTTAGATATCACATCAAATAGAAACTACTTCATAATGGCATGCAGATACATAATAAGCTGTACTTATAGAATCTAAATATTCCTAACATCGACCTATATCTTTATTAGCTTGAGCTTACAGTTTACTCTAATCGCTATTGATATTGACATTAGTTTTTGTTTAAATTAAATTAAATTTGCTTAAACCAATTTTTTATTAAATTTATTAAATTGTTTATTACATGACAATTTTTTTACTGGAATAACTAAATGTTTCTATTTTTACAGAGCCGATCATAAATTATATACCAAGACCAAAACAGCTCATACTAAATCCAGGCATCCAGGCAGACACACATCAAAAATGTCGCCAGTAACCCAGAGCCCATATGATGTTTCCGGAAGGAAACAGAGAGACTTCTTGGATGCTGTATCATCAGGACTATCTGGTTCATCCAGATATATTAGCTCCTCATCCAGCTCAAGTGGTTCACGAGTAATATCTTCTTCATCTGGTGGATCCTCAGGAGGCTTTTCATTCCAAGGAGGTATAAATATATTACTACTTATATATTGCTTACTATGAAATTCCTAATATGTCATATATTTAATATATGTATGGGTTTTATTGCTTAGGATGCGTGGGTATGCCATCACCGATGAACGCTGGGGTAAAATGCTCGTCAGTGACTGGTTGCACAGCTACTTGTATGCCAGACTCCCAATTCCCTAATGGAAAAACTGAACTTAGAGTTCTCTGTCAAAATGGACAATGGTTTGCAGAAGGATTTAGTGGTGTTCCAAACTGTGAACGCAGATTTGGTTCATCTGGACTTAGTGGTTCATCATCTAGCTCAAGTAGTTCATCTATAATATCTTCTTCATCGGGTGGATCCTCAGGCAGCATTTCATTCCAAGGAGGTACAAATATTTTACTATTTATATATTTATAATATAAAATTCCCAATGAGTTAGGTATTTAATATGTTTACTCCTTTTTTAGGATGCGTGGGTATGCCCTCACCCATGAACGCTGCAGTTAAATGCTCGTCATTGACTGGATGCAGAGCTACTTGTATGCCAGACTCTCAATTCTCTAACGGAAAAACTGAACTTCAGATTATCTGTCAAAATGGACAATGGTTAGCAGAAGGATATAGTGGTGTTCCAAACTGTCAACGTGTATCTGGTTCATCTGGACTTAGCGGTTCATCATCTAGCTCAAGTGGTTCAGGAATAATATCTTCTGGTGGATCATCAGGCAGCATTTCTTCATCAGGTGGATCCTCAGGCAGCATTTCATTCCAAGGAGGTACAAATATTATACGATTTATACATTTATAAATATAAAATTCTTAACGAGTTGGGTATTTAATATGTTTACTGTTTTTTTTAGGATGTGTGGGCATGCCCTCACCCATGAACGCTGCAGTTAAATGCTCGTCATTGACTGGATGCAGAGCTACTTGTATGCCAGACTCTCAATTCCCTAATGGAAAAATTGAACTTCAGATTCTCTGTCAAAATGGACAATGGTTAGCAGAAGGATTTAGTGGTGTACCAAACTGTCAACGTGTATCTGGTTCATCCGGACTTAGCGGCTCATCATCTAGCTCAAGTGGTTCAGGAATAATATCTTCTGGTGGATCATCAGGCAGCATTTCTTCATCCGGTGGATCATCAGGCAGCATTTCATTCCAAGGAGGTAAAAATATATCACCTATTTATATATTTTTAAATGTAAAACTTAGTTAGTTATTTACCATGCTTACGACTTTTATTTTTATAGGATGTGCCGGTATGCCCTCACCCATGAACGCTGGAGTTAGATGCTCATCATTATCTGGATGTAAAGCTTCTTGTATCCAAGATTATCAATTTCCTAATGGCAAAACTGAAATTAGAATTCTTTGTCAAGATGGAAAATGGCTTGCTGAAGAATTTAGTGGTGTACCAAACTGTGAACGTAAGTTAATAAATTTATTGATCTTGGGATACTTCCCACAGGTGTTAGTCCCCTAGTACAAACCTTCTAGATTTAAATATCTCAACTTCTTCTGGATTGGTTTTTTATTGTATCTCTATTTTCATTTTATTTACATGAGTTTAGAGGATATCAGACACGCCAATACGCCGATACAAAACTTCGGTCATAATAACAGCGTGTGCTAGCTCTCTGGAGGATCGCTTAGGCAACACTTTGTCCCCTACGCCAAGCATGCCGTAGTTACGATGATATTACATCTCTGGATTGGATACCGCAATAGTTGCAACACAAATCTTACTGTATGATCAGCCAGCTGTGGTACGGCTTTATCAATTGAGCCATTCTAAAGGTGTTTCCTCTGTTTTATTTACTTTAGGGTCTTTCACAGCCGAGAGATTCATCACAGAGACCGAATATGTCTCATTAATATATTGTTTTTTTTTTGTGATATAAATAACATTTTTATCACTTTCATAATAATTATAAAAATGACATTTAACGTATGAAATACTTTTGTGACAATCAAATAACAATTTTTACATTCTAGCCATTTGTTTGCCACAATGCCAAAACAACGGAATCTGCTTGGCTCCTAACCAATGTAGCTGCGCAGAAAACTTTTCTGGACCTCAATGCCAGTTCGAAAGCAAACCATGTTTGAACTACCCTCCCATGCCCAAAAACTCAAAACGATCCTGCAATTCCAAGTAAGTAGCTATAATGCTAAATAATTTGAATAAAAAGTATCAAACAAATTAAAGGTAAAAATTAGGTATTAAATAAACTATTCTTTATAGAAAATGTACAATCAGTTGTATGAAGGGTCATGAATTCCCTGATGGCTCACAGATCGCAACCATGGACTGCAAAAACGGATTGTGGATTCCAAGCAAAGAAAAATGGACTTCTATTCCAAACTGTCAAGGTATATACCTTCATTTAGATTTAACATTTTCGTTAAGTTTCAATCTACTCTAACTCTAACTAAACGTTATGATTTTATATTTTAGCAACTTGCGATCCTCCATGTTTGAATGGTGGAAACTGCCTTTCATTCAACGTCTGCCAATGTCCCCAGGAATTCAGAGGCCCACAGTGCCAATACAGTAAGTATAATTTGATTTTAAGTAGTTTTTAGTATCTATTTAGAAAATTCTACATATTAACGAAATACATTTAATGCGTTTAATTTTTAACCAGTATAATATTTTCAATAAATTAATGCTTTTATAGAAAATAGGAGTTAATATTGAAATCATACTGACAATTTTCATTAATTTTATTAACCCTCCGTTCATCGGGTGACCATTCTGAAACACTTTCGGTCGGGTGTGGTCTGTGAGGATCAAAATGAAATACCGCCTCCCGAGCAACAGCATACATTTTATTGCTAATTTCGCATCAACGTATTTTAAACAAATCGTTTACTATATAATATTTATTACAGAAACAATTCCAAAATTTTTTTAGTTGTATTAGGTAAATTTTAAAAATGTTTACAATTTTAACGCATAGTTTTTCAAATTTGTGAACAGCGACTAAATAATGAAAAAAAAACATTTAAAACTTTAATTAGAAACAAACAAAGTACTACAAAACATATATAAACTAAAAAATTAAATTGTGGACACAAACTACAGTGGTCAACGTTTGGTGGTCAAATTTTCTAAGCAATCTTTGCAGCATGCCATTATGTGGTCCATACATAGCCAGGATTTGCAAATTTTGCAAGAAAAGCGAGTTTTACGTCTTTTGCAATATTTAGAGATTATAAACTACTACCATTGGCCAACGTTTCGTATTTCTGGAAACATATGATGTGATCATTCTGTCTACAACATTTACTCAACTCTTTGTGAAATTATAAACAGTAAATATTTCTGGTTTTTTCTGATCACCAGTATCTTCATAAATTCGATCATCTCTGTGCACATTGGAAACAGCAATCACATTTCTTCCTTTCTTCGGTATATATGATACAGCAGTCATATCGTTGCTAAATGCAAAAACTGAAGAATATACCTGTCTATTTTTAATTTTCGTTATTTCTGCAGGTAATTCTCGTCTGTTGGTTCTAATTGTACCAATTACGGTGAGTCGGTGTTCTCTTAGTAGTTGGTTGGCAATTGCATATCCTGTTACCATAGACCAACGGTCTATGGTTTTGTTTATTCCTGAACCCGATAAATTTAAGTACATTCTTTCATTTACTGCAGCAGTACAATTGTCAACTTTATATGGGCCATCGGGTTGAATACCCACAATTTTAAAATGCCACAAGAAAATAGCTTCACAACAATATTCTTTTCTTTGGTCTCAAGTCGTGGTATCATTAAAACGGATACACTTCAGTAAAAATATAAACCTACGTTTTGCATTGTAGCAGGAAATATCTCATATCCCATACCACTTGACGACCAGTACTCTTCCAGATTTGTTCTTAATGCTTGATGATGTCCAACCAAATACAATAAACCAATCAGTGATCAAATTTCTACTGGGTCAGTAGGTCTACATTCGGAATTTTTTTTATGTATAAATTCGTGTTTTCAACTATAATACCAATGCAGTTACCAAACATGTGCGTCCAGCATTCAATGGAAGATAATGCGTGTCGCGCTTCACCAACAACCCCAGAAAAATGGGTCACTATGTTTTCGTTGCGTGTTCTAATATTTCTAGTTGGGACAAATTTTCTCCATGTAGTTCCGTCTTTACCAAAAAAATATAAGCCTCTGTCATGATCCATTTGTTCCACATTTTCTTCATTCTCGACTTAATTCTCATTTAGAATTTGCTCATCTTCATTTTTCTGCTCGGTGTCTGTATCATGATCACTGATCCCCAGAAAATCTGGATCTGCGATCGAATCGTCGTCAGAGTCATCTATTTCACTTTCTATGGCAGTTTCCTCATACAGATTTATTAGCCTCTCTATTTCCACTTCATAAGGATCCATTTTACAATGCTAAAATATAATGTTTGTCCAACCGAATCTCGATATGAAATTATTCTTATATGGATATTTTACAAAAATCTAAAACACTTTTCATATAGTTTACTATTTTCTTTGTGAGATTTCCAGATTTAGAATAGAAATTAAAAAAAAATAAAATGAGAAAATTATCCAAAATTTTTATTTTGTCGTATACTCACGGACCACACTCGATGAATGGAGGGTTAAATATTATATTTCCTCTCTACTAATGTACTAGACATAGCATAATATTTCCTATTTAAAAAAAATGTTTGTGAATATGGAATAAAGGGGATTGACAACCGGATGTATTGTTAAAATATATTGCTTTTTTTTTCATTGCTATTTCAACATGTTCACAATACCTAAAACATATTGCCTATGAAACACAATTTGGTTTTCGCAAAGGCCTAGGACCGTCTGAAGCACTTTTTTCACTTAATATACTGATTACAAAGATGCCTGGACGTCAATCAAGATATATACGCATGTTTTATTAACTATAATAAAACATTCGATAAAGTACGACATGAACAATTAATGAATGTCCTAAAATCAAAGAAGATTGAGTACAACGACCTCAGAGTCATATCAAATTTATACTATAATCAGCGAGCAAAAGTACGTGTTAAGAAGAGCTGTCAAAAAAAATTGAAATTAGACGTAAAGTGAGACATGGATGCGTATTATAGCCAATTCTTTTTAATGCCTACTCCGAAGAGATCCTAAAAAAAGCTCTTGAGAATAAAACTGCTGGAATAAAGATAAATGGAGTTTCCATTAACAACATTAGATATGCGGACGACACTGTGATCTTAGCCGAAAATATTGATGATCTTCAGAGACTGGTAACCAGAATAGCGACGTATAGAAAAGAGTACGACCTAAGAATGAACGTCAAAAAGACGAAATTTATAAGAATATCGAAAACTCAAAAAAGAAACGAGAATCTTCTGATAAACGGAACCAACTTCGAACAAGTAGACAAATATGCATACCTAAAAATAATGATTAACTCCATAAATAATTACTAATTAGATAATTACTAATAACAATAATTAGAGCAAATTTCAACAACATGAGAAGAGTGCTATGTACAAGGAATTTAAAAGTGAAACTAAGAGTTAGGTTGGCGAGGTGCTATGTTTTTTCGACTTTGTTTTACGGAATGGAATCTTGGACCTTGAATGCGACATCAATAAAAAACTGGAATCGTATGAGCTGTGGGTGTATAGAAGAATTCTAAAAATATCGTGGAGAGAACACATCACAAATAAAGAGGGATTCTGAGAAGGATGAATAAAGAAATAGAAGTTTTAAATACAATTAAAACAAGAAAATTGGAATATGTCGGGCATATTACAGGTGGAGAGAAATACATGTTGCTCCAACTGATTATGCAGGGAAAGATTCAAAGAAAGAGAAGCATAGGGCAACGTAGAATGTCATAGCTGCGCAACCTGAGAGAGTGGTGCGGATGTACATCAAATGAACTTTTCAGAGCAGCCGTCTCAAAAGTCCGAAGAGCTATGATGATTGCCAACCTCCGCCGGGGAGATGACACTTGAAGACTTCCATATAACCATTGTTATATCATCTGGAAAGAGCTACAAAGTTACATTAATATTATCACTCATGGGAATATTATTGAGGATTACTTACGGAAACTGAAATAGGTGACATAAGCTCTTCTCTGATGATGCCGAGAAACTTTGACGAAATATAGGAATATAAAGCTGAAAAAGCTCTTTTCAGCTGTTACCCAACCAAATCCTCTCTCTGTTTTTTTTTATTATTTATAATAAAGCAGGGGTTATATAAAGTATCTTAGGTAATTTTTTAAATACGCTTATAAATTTAATGTTCATATAAATACAATTATATTAATTTTTTAGGTGCTGAAGTATGTAATCCAAAGAACATGGGCTTCAATGGTGGTTACAATTGTTCCGGAGATGCTAACACATTCTCCTGTGCTCTTAAATGTCCAGTTGGCATTGATTTTGAATTCCCACCTGTACCTGTATATACTTGTGACTACGCTCTTGGATTCTACTTGCCAGCTCCAATTCCAGACTGTGTATACCGTAAGTATATTTTTTACCTTATTCTTATTTTTATTTCCGGTGTTGAGTGCTATGTATCCATTTTATGTATAAGATATTTTTCTTGTCCATGCACTTTACTTACAGCATGAAAATTGCGTGGTGTACATTGCTTAGCATTTGGTCAAGTTTTAGGTTTTTACACGATGAATGTTATTTATACTAACCAAAAGTCGTCGTTGTCTAATTTGATCATAATCATTTAGCCAATCGCATTCAATGCTCGAAATAGGCCTCCCTCAGTCTCTTTCAACGCTCTCTACACACCGACACTTGTAACCATTTTTTCATTGCATCAATCTGTCTGGTAGGTAGTATTTAGCTTTTTTATAGTTTTTGGGTCTCCATGCCACGATTCGTCTTGTTTGATTCTGATCGATTTAACGCTGACGCAAAGATCGGTAAATAAACTCAGAATTGCACAACGAGCCATGAAACGTACAATACTGAATGTTACCTTTGAAACCATAATCACAAACCATCAAATTAAACAAAGATCAGACGTTAAAAATGTCATCGAAAGAATCATATCGCCAAAGTGAAACTGGGCAGGGCACTTAGTGAGAACACAAGACGAACGGTGAAAAAGAGGAGTCTAATTTATATTCATAAATAATTATTTCTCTGAACCATATGTTGTTTTGTAGAGTTTTATTTGTATTTCTCGATAATTGTGGTATACGATAAACTGTATAATTATGGATTTAAGTAGGAGATTGAGCCTAAAATATCTTGATCGTTCAAATTCTGCGGTTTATCTCTACGGTAATATTATTTTCAGTATTAAGGAGCGCTCCCAGGTATACAAATTCGTTTACTGCTTCTATGACGTCGTTTTCTATAACTAGTGGTCGTAGTATTTGTGGTTATCTGCTTATTTTCATATACTTTGTTTTGTTGGTGTTTATTATTAAACCCATTTTTGTCGCTGATTCTTTTAATGCTACATACGCCTCTTGTACAGCGTTTTCCGTTCTCCCAACAATATTGATATCATCAGTCATCAGCATAGGACAGGATTTGCACTGATTTATTATATATTGAACCAGTGGTTGTGATTTGCGATACACGTATTACTTTTTCCAGAGCCAGATTGAACTCCCTGGCGTAGCCCGTTATTTTTTTTTAAAGATTCAGACAGTTCCCCCTGAATTCGTACTCTACATTCCAATTTTTCAAGAGTTAGTTTTGTTAAATTTACCAATCTTTCATTGCCTTGAACATTTCTCTTCTATTCACAGAAACATAGGCTGCTTTGAAATCTGATGAATTCAGGTCGATTTACCACCTCTGAAACCAGCCTGGTATTTTTCTACTATCCGTTCTGCATATGGTGCCATACGGTGACATAGTACTTTGGAAAATTTAGAAGCTTAATTTCTCTGTGGTTAGGGCAGTCAAAGATATCTCCTTTTTTGTGAATGGTGCAAAGTATTCCAATATTCCCATCATTGGGGAGGGATTTATGTGTCGGTATTTCTTTTATAAATTGCTGTAATGCTATTGCGAGTAATTTGTTTGCAGCTTTAACTTCAAGAATCGTTAGTGGTTTCTCTTCCCTCTTGTCTGTTCTCCTTACCTCAGCTCTTTCATCTTTCAGGTTTTCTTCTTCTTCCTTTATGAAGGAAGCACATAGAATGCTTTGAATTCTTTCTCTGTGTTGAGGTTTTCTATATATTTAAGTTCCTCATTTAGGTGGTTTCGTTTTTTGTGTGTCCTCTTTTCTTTTCTTCTCCTTGTCTAGTAATTCTATACAGTTGTTCTAGTTCGTCGGGTAAAAATATTTCTGTAGGCTTCATTTTTTCCTTTTGTTGCATTCTTGTATTCATCGTCAAACCAATGATTTCTACGGGCACAAATTTCTGTTCCTATTTCCTCTTTTGCTGCTGCTTCAATGTCTGTCTTTATTCTGATCCAGTAGGAGTCTATATCTGTCTGCCATTATTTATTTACATGTTGATTCCTTAGTCTATTAGTGATGTTTTTCGAGTACCGTTCTGCATTTGTCGCATCTCTCAGCTTTTGCACATTCCATTTTTTTGTATCCATTTAATATTCATTTCTTCTTTATTATTGTGCTTTGCACTCTTGATACAAGCGTCCTAGAATAGGCTTTAGTATATACATATACAGGGTGTTTCTTTGGGAGAGTTACATACGTTAACTGAAAAAAATAGACACTTAGGCGTTCTCAAAAATCCCATACCTACTTCTTATCCCATCAATAACAAAGATACTGAGTGTTTTATCTATTTAACCAACATCTTATTTAGTTTATAACTTTTTAAACACACTATACTATACATAAGTTTTAGCATATGTCAACATTTAGCCCCCTTTCTTCCATTTACCATCGATGCTCTCTCTTCAACTTGTTCGTAGTCTAGCTTTTTTACGTCTTCCCTGTGGTGTCCAATCTAGTTTCTACTTTGGTAATCGATCTTCTTCCTGAAGATCTGAACGTTCAATCATTGGGTTTTTAGAGTTTATAAATATGCAGATATCGTCACTGATAAATCTCTTTCTCGACATGATCTATTAGATGACCTACAGAATGTGAGATGATGTGAGGTAATGTACGTGACCTACAGAAATATTTCCGTGACTGGTAGTGTTTTCTTTTATTTTTAGTGGCCAAACTTCGAAACCTTATCCGACGATACTTTGTAGTTTGTATACTAGTCTAATATATCCTTCTTTTGTTTGCTTTAGATATATTTTTTCCAGAGAACTCCATTCATTAAATTTCTGATTTTTTTTTAGTGGATATTTCTGTCTTTTATTGCTTCATCCAGGGTCTCATCATCTGTCAATTTCATGCCCAAATATTTTGACGTTTGGTTTCATTGTATACGTTATCCATAATTAAGTATCAGATCTTTTCTTTTTTCTCCTGCACATATAGATTCAGTTTTCTTCAATATTTACCTCCAGGTCCCATTTTTTTATACTTTGACAAGTTTGCTGGTTATATATTCTAGGTCCTCATGTCTTGGGTTACAAATATGTATTCCTCTGTCTTTATTCCTCTTGGTTATCTGCAAAACATAATATATATTTAGTATGTTTTCTATTTATGGAATTCTAATATTGCTATTTCCATATTATATGAAATAAAATATAAATTTTATTGTATATTATATAAATTTATCATAAAATATATAAATTTCATTATCAACCTGATCATCACTGAATATTTTTAAATTTGTAGCTGATGGTTCCGAAGTCCACTTCATTCCAGGTACTTCCGAAACACACATCACATTCAACTACACCGAATGGATATCCACCAGCGGAGGCAGACTTTTCCTTGAAAGGTTGGAACAAGAACTTTCTCTCGGCGTGAACGTACATATTATTATACAAAGAATTCAGGACGAGCTTAAATCTGGAAAATTGACCATTGAACAGAAAACTTTGTTGGAAAAATGGGAGAAGGAATTGAGCACTGGAGCATTGACCGAACAGAAATTATTAGAACAAATCAAGGTTTTCCCTATGTTTACTGAGTCACCAAGTGGTCTTACTGAAGTGACGGTAAGAGCAGTTTAAAAATATTTTCTTAAGTATTCATCAAATTTTTATTTCTGTTAAATATAGAATTATGTTGTGTCAATTTCTTAAAGAAATATTTTGATTTTAACGACCATCTTAATTCTTCTGTAGTAACTTGTTCAGTTTGTTCTTGTAAATGCTCCTTTGCATATATTTCAGATGCCAATGTATAATTCAAATTAATTCATTCTCTTTAAAAGTGATTTAGACAGTCAAATGAGATTTGATATTTAATAACCTCGTTTATTATGAATTCTACTACATTTCTGACAAATTACAAACGTAGGTTCATAGGTATTTTAACCTATTTGTTTTTCTTAAAATTATGTTTTAAAAAAATCACAATCAGTTATACACAAGTTAGTTCTTAGTGCATGTAATAGTCATTCTAGAGTTCTTGTGTGGGAATAAGAAAGCACCCAAAATAAGGAAGGATTATTCCAAGGCCTGCTTTAATTACTTTTTTTTCAATCGCTCTCTATTTTATATACATTTATATTTATATATGAATATATATTTTTTTTAGGAAAACATCATCATTGACGAAAATCATAAGGTCGTTGAAGGTGGTAACGGCGGTAGTGAAAGTATCATCGTTGAAACGAAGCTGCCCGCACCTGGTACATGTTTTGCTTGGGGTGGATCTCATTATAAAACTTTCGACAACAGAATCTACAGGTAAGAAAAGTGAAAAAGACTTTCTCAATAAAATAAACATAATATTATCTACACATTTAATTCACTTAATTTAATTTAAATGGTACTTCCTTCGAATATAATATTCAATTTAAATACATTTGAAAATATATTTGATTTGTTAGTTTTTTATCTTCTCTCTTTGAAGATTATTCCAACCAAAACTGCATCAAATACAGATAATTGCTGACAGTGTTGGATTCGGCATAAAAAATTATGTAGAATTCAGTTATTCCAGGTATTTATCAATTGTATTTTCAGGTGAATTGTAAATAGTTTAAGGTCATTTTAAACCAAAAATTGTGAAGGGAACTAAACTTAACGATGCTGCTAAAAAGAAAGCTTTGAGTAGGGATCTTCAAGGAGCGAGAAGGCGAGGGAGACGATTTACCGATAGAAAAGAACCATTGAAAATGAAGCACAATCTATTGAGAAGACTTAGGACAAACTAGGAAACTATATACTCTTCGATGATAATCAACGAAGCGTGATGATATTGTTACTTTCAATACTTTACTTGCTCATGTTTCCAAGCTTCCAAGTTTCTCAGTGTTTTCAATGTTTTTTATATCTTCGTTTTCTTCTTCCTCTTTATAAGCAATTCTGCTTGTTCGTTGGCAGATTAATAACTCTGTGGAAGGTTGTCACTCCATCTTTTGCGAGGTCGTCCGATACTTCTTCTGCCGATTGGTGATTTATCTCTTGCTATTTTGACGACACGTTCTGCTCATGTGGTTATTCCAATCTTTTTATTTTGTATTCATTCGTTTATACACTGTACGTTACATTTTCTTGTAATGTATTCACTTCTGTTTTGATCTTTCTGCGTACTTCCTGTAATTCTTCTCAGTTATCTCATCTCTGCAGTAGCCTTTGTATTGTGGCTGTGTTGGGTCTTGTTTCTGAGGCATATGTCATTATTGGTCTTAAACTGGCTTTATAAATTCTTCATCTCAGTATTCCAGATGAATTACCAAGCGAGCTACTAAAGTTGGTCAACGAGAAAAACCTGGACATAATAGTAGAACTGTTCAACGCTATCTATACTACGGGAATCATTCCTAGAGAAATGTTGACATCAGCATTTGTGTGTTTGCCAAAGAAAGTGAATGCCAAAGAGTGTAGTGACTATCGAACCATAAGCTTAATGTCACATACCTTGAAAATTCTCTTGAAAATTATCCACGCCAGAATACACTCTAAACTGGAGCTGGATATTAGTGACACTCAATATGGGTTCCGCAATGGTATGGGTAAAAGTAAGGTATGGGTAAAGAAGAAGAAGAAGCATAGGCCGACGACGTGTATCCTGGCTAAACAATTTGAGGCAGTGGTACAATTGTAACTCTGTTGAGCTGTTTAGAGCAGCAGTGTCAAAGGTGAAGATAGCCGTGATGATAGCCAACCTTCTTAAAGGAGACGGCACTTAAAGAAGAAGAATGGTATGGGTACCAGAGAGGCATTATTCTCCTTCAATGTGCTGACACAGAGATGTTTGGATGTTAACCGTCCTCTTTACGTCTGTTTTATAAACTACAATAAAGCGTTTGATAAAGTAAAACATGATCGACTCCTGGAAATTCTAAAAAATAAAAACCTAGATGAAAGAGATTTAAGGCTAATAACACACCTCTATTACAATCAGCGAGCAATAGTAAGAATCGAAAAAGAAACATCTGAAGAAATGGAAATAAAGAGAGGAGTCAGGCAAGGCTGCATTCTATCACCTCTATTATTTAACGCCTATTCTGAAGAGGTAATTCGAGAAACTCTGGAAGATGAAACAGTCGGCATAAGAGTAAATGGAGTCTTAACTAACAACATCAGATATGCAGATGATACAGTAATAATAGCCGATAGTTTACAAGACCTGGAAAGACTCATGAGCAAAATAGTCATGTGTAGTAGGGAGTACGGACTCTCTCTTAATGTCAAAAAGACGAAGTTTATGAAAATTTGTAAAAACAACTATAATACTAACGAAATCTTGATAGTAGGGGGCCAGCAGATCGAAAGAGTAAAAAAGTACACTTACCTAGGAACACATAACAGAAAATAATGACTACACGGCAGAAATCAAAGTCAGAATCGAAAAAGCACGTTCTAATTTTATAAAAATAAAAAAGGTCCTATGTGGCAAAGATCTAACATTAGCTCTTAAAGTACGCCTAACAAAATGTTACGTATACAGTGTACTATATTATGGAGTGGAATCATGGACGTTAAATCTAGATACCATGAGACGACTTAACGCCTTTGAAATGTGGACCTATAGAAGAATTATGAGGGTTTCCTGGGTAGATAGAGTTACAAACAATGAAATACTGAGAAGAATAGGCAAAGAGAAGGAAATTGAACTTACAATTAAAGAAAGAAAGCTACAGTATCTCGGACATGTGATGCGGGGCGATAAGTATGGCATCCTGCGACTCATAATGCAAGGAAAAATAGATGGCAGAAGAAGCATCGGAAGAAGACGAATTTCATGGCTGAAGAACCTGAGAGAATGGTTTGGATGCAGCTCAAAACAACTATTTAGAGCTACTGCCTCAAAAATTAAGATAGCTATGATGATTGCCAACCTCCGTAGCGGAGATGGCACCTGAAGAAGGAGATCTCAGTATTAATGTGTCTGTTTCGCCATATAGTTTTATTAAGGCATCCTGTCAGATTATTTGCTTTTTGTACTTGATCTCTCACTTCTTTGTCCAGGTCTCCATAGCTAGACAGTGTAATTCCCAGATATTTTGTTTCCAATATTGTCATATTAAATTCTTTTGCTCCTATGTGAAATTTCTGGACCAATTTTTATAGACCATCTTCATCTTGAGCTATCAATATTGTGTCGTCTGCGTAATAGAGTATTTTTATTTGTTTGTTTTCTATTCTGTATCCTCTTCCTTTGTTAAGGCTTTTGATGATTTAATCCATGATTAAATTAAAGAGCATGGGGCTCAATGAATCCCCTTGTCTTCTTCCGCTTCCTATTTCTATAGGTTCTTGTAAGTTGTCCATTTATTCTGACTTCCATTTTGTTGTTTTGGTAGATGTTTTTGATAGTTTTTATAGTATTTAGGGACTTCTCTATTATACAGAAGATGGATTACATTTTTGAGTCTTACTCTTCGCAAATCTACGCTTTCTTTATGCAAATCAGATACAGAAATGTTGGTCTATTATACTCTAGTGATTTCTCAGTCATTTGCTTTATAACGAATATTCCATCTGTATACGATCTTCCACTACGAAAACCCTGTTGTTCATCTGCTAAACTTATCATCTGATTTATTAGCACTTGTAAAACTGTTTTTTTTTATATGAATGCGCAAATATTTCTTTAATTCTTGTTTTTTATTGATGTTTTGGGGAGTAGTAACTACCTCTTAGAAATAGTTTAGGATTCTTATTGCAGTCTCTGTTTTTGTTTAATTCAACTATGATTAATTTAAAACATTCTTTTTCTACTAGTGGAGTAAAAATAGGGGTCTAAACATCCAGAGCTCCAAATGTATATAAGGCCTAATAAGAAAGAAGATAAAGCTGGTGGGCAATTACTGTATACGTTTCGCACGGCACAATTATATTTTACCATTTGTATTTCTATTCCCTTGGTCTCTGGCAGCAAACTGTCCGCATCACTACGTCATGATGGTCGCATCACTACGTCAAGATGGAACAGCACGATATGGTGTTCCATCACACTATTGTAGAATATTAATGACTTTTTTATATGTCATTTGTTCATAATATTTGTTCATATGATCAGAACACCATCAAAGAGCGCACACTAGAATATCTAGGCCATGTTATGAGCAATGAACAGAGATACGGCTTGTTGCAATTCATTCTTCAGGGCTAGGTATTTGGAAAGAGAGGACCAGAAGAAGAATATCTTGGCTTCAAACCCTCAGAAAGTCGTTTAATACATCGACAACCGAACTATTTAAAATAACAGCAAGCAAAGTTAGGATAGCCATATTGATCGCCAACATCCTGAACGGATAGGCACCGTAAGAAGAAGCAGATATGTCATTTATTCTTTGCAGATCTGTTTTGCTTTGAATTTTCTTTATCCCCTTCCGAGAGTTTCTCTATTGTTTGTCTATTATTTCACTAGCTTGGTTTCCATTTTGTTTTTTACCTCAGTTGGTGGTCTTATCAATAATATGCACTACTGGTGTACTACTAAAGCCACTTAACTTATATTTTTGCCTTCTGTAGTCGACAAAGCACAGAAATACATCTTTATTTTAATCACGACACTTTTAAATTAGTACTAGACCAAATAGTGCCTCAATGATTCTGATTTCTTTGCGTTCAATAGCTTCCTTGATACCTTCCAATTGTTTTTCTTTTGTTTCAAAATATTTTTTATTGATTTTTTAGTAAACCTTCGAAATAATAAGAAATTTTTAATTTTGATAATTAACATTATCAATTTTATTATTATTAAAAGTATATAATTTGGTAATGAAATAAATTAAGGACTAAAGCACCAGAGTAAAGATTAATTAAAACATTTAATTTTCAGCTTCAAATCAAGATGTCCTCACGTTCTAGTCCGTGACTCCAAAGATAGCACCTTCAGCATCATCACTCAAGATTCCGATGAGTGTCAATCAAATCCAGAACTGTGCCACAAAAACATTAATATTTTCTTGCAAAACGTTAACTACCTACTTTCAAAAACTAATGATGGACAACCTCTCTTCAAATCCGGAGACAAAGTACTCCCAATTCCTGGACGAGTTCCTGGAATAAGAGTAGAAATGGAAGCTCACAATCTTCTTGTGTCATTAGATACTGTTGGAGTTGAAATGCTTTGGGATGGAAGGGTAAATATTAAATTTTCTACATGTTTATCTACATAATGCCAGTATATAGTTGAATATTAAAATTGTATGTATTGTATATTAAAATGTTTTTTTTGCAACGTTTTTAGAACCTCATTCAAGTTGCCGTTAAAGAAAACCTCTGGAATAGAACGGAAGGTTTGTGTGGTATTTTGGACGGTGATGTAAGTACTGATATCGTTACCCAAGACGGAGAAGCTACCAAAAATATTCTTACCTTTGCCAGCAGCTGGAAAGTTGACTACATTGGAAGTAAGTCAAATAAATATTAATATATTTCTTCCCTTTATTTATCGTTTGTCTTTTAGAAATAAGTCAAGCCTGAGAGAAAATAAGATACTAATGTTTTTTAATAGTGTAACTAAAGTTTATTTTCTCTTCTCTCTCTCTCTCTCTCTCTCTCTCTCTCTCTCTCTCTCTCTCACACACACACTCTCTCACACACTCTCTCTCTCTCTCGTTTTCTCTTTTCTCTCTTTCTCTATTTTTCTCTCTCTTTCTCTCTCTCCACATATATAGACGTTTTAATTATTCCTCAAAAAAATCCTTTTACAATATATTATCGAAGTCAGATCTTATCAGTTATAAGAATTTTAGTATCCACATTGAAATATTTATCTAATTTTGTATCCAGATTTAAACCATACCACTCTTACTCAGTCTAAGAAAAAAATTCACTTATTCCAGATCAATACAGTATTAAAAACATTGAGCTTTGGAAGTAATCTTTTCGAACTTTCTTACACAGTTGGATTTGTGAGTAAAGATCTCTTTAATTAATTCTAAGTAGCATATTCTCTGTGACTTAATAAAGCTTATTCTTAAATCGTTTTATTGAGAAGGATTTGTTATTTCTTGGTTTGTTCGTCCTTGACACTACATTTTCCAAAACTGATCCTTGCACTTTTGCTTCCATGTTCACACTGTCTATTCACTGACAACACTGATATATTTCAGATGTTGTTCTTATCCATGTTTCGTATGGGTATGTTACTGTTGTTCTGATTACTGTCTTGTAGATTATTTTTATTTTTCTTGCCACATACTGTGATTTCATTAACAATCTCGGCAATCAATGTTTTAGTTTAAATTGCTTTTTAGTTTTTCGTGTATTTTTAATTTGCATTTTATTACCAAACTTTAGCGACTGTTAAGTCTACTAATTCGACAGCTGCATTTGGAAATTTGTAACGTTTTTGTGGTGTTAGTTGTCGATGTTAATGACCATTGTTCGATGTTGATCCTTTTCATATTCGATGTTAAAGTTGTGAATTGAGTTTTAAATTAGTTATTCTTCTTTTCTGAGAATTATCCTTTGGATAATATTTTAGAGAATCAGTTTTTGTGATTTATATCTAAAACTCTTATTAAGTAGTCAAAATATTTCAGCTGGATTTTCAGGACTGATTTAGTTTAGTAGTAAGTTAATTACCTTGTCTTCCTCTAAAAACGTTAATTTTTTACAATTTTTCATGCAAATCCAGCTCTATATATTCGCTGTCTCTTTAATAAGTTTGTGTGTACTTATTTAATATATCAATGGGTACAAGTAGTTTATACAGATTGAAGCATATGTAGGATAATATGCTAAGATAATTGGGGTACCTTGATTCACTTTATCTGATTTTTTTTATTGATTATTGTACTTTTTTGTTTAACATCCTTGTTTTATTGTAGACCGATGTGAGGATTCACCTTCCGAAGATGCCGTTTGTACTCACCAACCAGAAAAAGCAGAAAATGCAACCAATTTCTGTAATAAGCTCATCAAAGACAACAGATTCAGGCAATGTCAAAATGTAAGTAAAATAACTGAAATATTCTATTAATTAACAACAAAATGTGAATCATATGTTTATTCTGCTGATATTATTGTTACTAGATATTTCAATTCTTCGCATTTTTTATATCTCTAATAGAAGCCTAAGGATATTTTTGTTCGTTCTTTATAACAGGTATTTCGTCTCATTAACGTTGATGATAAATTTCCAATTATCATCTTGTTGAATACTATAATTGTATCTTCTATAATTCTATCTAGTGGATTGCTACAATTATTTGATTATAATTTTCCATTAAGTGAATTTTGCAAATGTTGTATTTGCTACAGTTACCTTAACATGCTTAAAATTTATTGAAGGTGGAATTGAATAAGTCACTTTTGTAGTAAAAGTGAAACCTTTAAAAACAATTTCTTGTTCTTGCGTTTGGGTGAGCGTCGTGTTTCATCCTTACCACATAAAATCTTCTTCTCCTGGTTCCTATCCGTTTCGGATGTTGGAAATGATATTGGCAATCATAACCTTGCTCGCTGCGGCTCGAAAGAGCTCCGTTGAGGTTTTCTTAAACCATGTTCTTAAATTCCGCAGCCATGATATTCTCCTTCTACCGAGTCCTCGCTTATTGGGGAACCGTCTTTACTGCTCTATTTGTTGTCATTCGGTTTATATGATCGTTCCATTCTACTCTTCTATTTTTTATCCAGTCCTTGATGTTCTCCACCTTGCATGCACTTCGTATATATGTACTTCTAGCTCTGTCCCACAGTTTTTCATTTTTCATCAAGATTTTCATTTCTGCTGTTTCTAACATCCTTTTTGTCCTTTCTGTGTCAGGTCGTGTTTCTGCCGCGTATGCCATTATTGGTCTGATGTCTGTTTTATAAATTCTGCCTTTCATTGCTTTCCCGATATTTTTATTTCTCCATATTGTTTTATTCAGGCAACTTGCAGCTCTGTTCACTTGATCTTCCACTTTGGTTAGCTTTGCGTAGCTAGATAATGTGATGCCTCGATATATTTAAACTTCATTACTTGTTTTATTATCTGACCTTCCAGATCCAATTTACATCTTAGTAAATTTTTTGTTATAACCATGCATTTTGTCTTTTTTGGGGAAACTAACATGTTAAATTTTCTGGCGGGAATATTAAATTGGTGCAGCATACCTTTTAAATCATCTTCACTTTAAGAGAGTATTATTACGTCGTCTGCATAGAAGATTATTTTAAGCTGTTTTTCTCCCATTTGGTATCCTTTTTTAGTTCTTACTTTTTTTATTATTTCATCCATAATCAGTTTGAAGATTAAAGACTCAAAGAATCTCACTGTCTTATCCCATTGCCAGCTTCAATAGGGTCAGTTAGTTCTTCTACTTTTACTTTTATTTTATTGTGTTGTTAAGGTAGATATTTTCGATCGTTTTGATGATTCATAAAGGTATCTCTCTTGCGTAAAATAAGTTGATAACGTCCTTTAATTTAACCCAGTTAAATGCCTTCTTAAGTTCCAGGAAACCTAGATATGCCAGTTTGTTGATTCTAATGATTTCTCTTGTACTTGCCTCGTTATACATATAGCGTCGGCGCATGATCTTTCCAACCTAGAACCATGTTCTTCTGCTAGTGTTACAATTTTAGTCAGTTTTTGTTATCATTTGGTTTTTAATTTTAGTGTTGTGTTCAATAAATTCCTCTGTAATTTTTCGAGTCCGATTTGTCTCTCTTTTTGACAAAAGATATTAGGTTGCTTGATCTCCATTCTTGAGAAATTCGGTTTTGTTCTATTATTTTTTGCATTAGGTTTAGTAATTGTTTCACTATCACTCTCACTATTACTGTCATCGCTCAAGTTCACGCAGAATAAGGTTACCGTTAGAAAGCGCCCAACTCTAATCTGCTATCGATGCAAAGAGAACCGAATATCCTCTCTTTTTTGCAACATATCAATTTTGAGTTCACATTTTAAAATTATTCACTTTTCTAAATTGTTTAATTTGTAAACATAATAATTGTTACAGCTTTTGGACATCGGATTTCTGTATGATGCTTGTAGATCTGATTACTGTAATTGCCTCGATAGTAACGACCCTACTGCATGCGCCTGTGATAACTTCGACGTTTACGTTAAGCATTGTACACTCTTTGGCATTAAAGGACTATCAAACTGGAGAGACGAAAATACTTGCCGTAAGTATAGCATTGTATTAGTACTTGATTTGGAAAATAATCGTTTAATGTTGTAGCAATGAAATGTTCAAACGGAAAGATCTACCAAGCTTGTGGTAGTGTCAACAGACAACCCACTTGTGGATCTATCTCCGAAGGAAAAGTGGAATCTGACGAGAAATGCGTTGAAGGATGTTTCTGTCCTGAAGGAACCGTACTTCATGAAGGATCATGTATCACCAGGGACAAATGCCCTTGTATGTTGAGAGGAAAGAGCTTTGAAGCCGGAGCATCTGTACCAAAAGATTGTAACACTTGTACTTGTAGCGAAGGGCAATGGATTTGTACACAGGTGAGTCATAAACCTATATCGGTACAACACATTTTATTTTATATTTTACATGCTATTGATACATTTACTCGAAAAGAAACACTCTATTTATATAAACGAAAATATTCTCGGTGTCGGTAAGCAGTTCTTACTGCTTACTACTGAATAATTATTAACGTAATTATAATTTATGATGTTTGTAATTTACTGAATTTGTTTTTGGAGTTGAAATAAAGTTAGTTAAATCACGTTTGCTTTACTTATCTGAACTAAAAAAAATCGTAACAAAATACTGAAATATTTCTCGTTTTAGGTTGACTGTGGAGCTCGTTGTTCTGCTATTGGAGATCCTCACTACGTCACTTTTGACGGAAAGAAATACGACTTCATGGGCAAATGTTCCTACTATTTAGTAAAAGCCAAGAACTTCTCTATTGAAGCAGAAAACACCCCTTGTGCAGGCTCAATCTCTCAGGTAAGATAAATTTTCTATAATAAATATTTTATCTATAGTTTATATAAAATATGTTTACTTTGGACTTTAAATATTTGTTTTAATTTATTATCTAATGTGCTTTAATTTTTTTAGGCCATGAACTTCCCTCTCAGTATTCTCAGTGGAATGCCTTCTTGTACAAAAACAGTCACAATCAGGGTTAATGATCAAATAATTAAACTGAAACAAAATCATGAATTAGTTGTAAATGGACAAGATATCATCCAAGTTCCATTTACTATTGCTGGAATCAGGATAAAGAAGGTTTCATCCATTTTCTTACAAAGTAAGTGAAAATTTTTACTATATGCTGTAAAATATTATTCACCTTATTAATAATGTAACACTGACTTGTTCTCTAAATTTTTTTACTTGGTTGGCTAAAATACCTAAACTTAATATTTGTCGAATTAATTTGTTAGAGACGATGAGAATATAAACATTCTGTTTAGTACGAATTAAAGTACAGAAAATATTAAAGACTGTCCTCCAGAGTAACCAGAAAAGATAGGGAATTAGGACCTAACATATTATGATGAATGGAAAATATGAGCTACTATACTGATATTTTGAAACTTGGGAAATGAAGGATAAAGTATTTAGACAGCCAATATTAGCGATGTTGCAAATTTTATTTAGATAAGTCATCTTTATTAAAAAACGTCTGCAACTTTTTAAAATTTGGGTTTTTTGCTTTGTGGCATACCCAACAAAACTATCTCTGATACAGTAACCGACTTTACAACTGATAATTGTTTAATAAATAAGGGAAAAATGTTAGGGATTTCCCAATATTTAAGCCTCAAGTCTCGATCAGGTACATTTTTCAAGAAATCTACTATTTTATTATAGAAATGTATAGAAATTAATAGTAGTATGAATAATATCATGGGTAGTAGCATACAATTAAAAAAAAAGTTAATGTACAAAAAACACCTAGAATAGGCAATTATCGAGTAATTTGAGCTTTTGTTATTAGACAAAGAATTTTACAAGTTATGTAAGAAGTTAAAAAGTGGCGACGACAGCTCGGTAGCTAGCTTTTGGTTTATTAAACCAAACGACCCGTTTTCTATACCGGCTTCTTCTTCTTCTTCTTATAATGCTGTGCACCTATAGTGCGTTGGCGAATTATCTTAAGGCCAGACGTCAGTCTTTTGCCGAATGCAAAAGATCGCCAGTGTTATTAAATTTATGCCTATCCAGTTTTTATGCTCCATAGCCCTGACATTTGTTTGCGACCTACCTCTCTATTGCCCTCAAATCTTTTCCTGGATGATTAGTTGAGGGATTGAGTATTTTTTTCCTCTCAGAATCATTCATCAACCTCTTGCATTCACTGTTGGATATAGGTCTCCTCCATGTTCTTCCACTGTTCTCTATCTTGCGCCTTCTGTATCCAATTTCCGACTGTTTTTCTCAAGTCGTCCACCCATCGCTCCATAGTCACGACATTTATTTGCGACCTACCCCTCTATTGCCCTCAAATCTTTTCCTGGATGATTAGTTGAGGGATTGAGTATTTTTTTCCTCTCAGAATCATTCCTCAACCTCTTGCATCCACTGTTGGATATAGGTCTCCTCCATGTTCTTCCACTGTTCTCTATCTTGCGCCTTCTGTATCCAATTTCCGACTGTTTTTCTCAAGTCGTCCACCCATCTTTTTGGTGGTCTGCCTCGGTGCCTTTTGTCTTCTCTAGGTCTCCATTCTATGAGTCTTTTGGTCCACCTATTAGAAAATGGCCGAGATATTTAATTTTTTGTATCTTGATCAAATTGAGTAGTTCTCTCTCAGTATTTGACTTTCTTAAGACTTCCTCGTTTCTCAACCCATCTGTCCATGGTATGCGGAACATTCTTCGCAACGTCCACATTTCGAACGCCAACTTATTGCCTTTCTCTTCTTTGATTCCAATAGAGATTCTGCATAACTCATATACCAGCAGACATTAGAACTTTTTAAATTCCTTATGTAACTGAGCCGCCACTGCGCTTCGGAGGGCACGTCTTCGGTCCTAGCTACTTAAGTAGTCGTTAACACTAAAACTTAAGCCAGTAAGAGGTTACATCAATGGAAGGTGTATAATAAGCTACAGTATGACCAGTTATAACTTCCGACTTTTTGTTTATATGCTTATTTTGAGGTTACTAATTATTTGTTAATTTTTTTAGCTACTTTACCAAATGGAATTGATGTTTGGTGGGACGGAAGCAACAGAGTCTATATAGATCTTCCTGCTAAATTTAACGAAGAAACGAGAGTGAGTTTATATTATTTTTAAAATGTTCTTGTTAAAATACAAAATTGGTTAAAATAATAACAATAAACATCATGTAAAGACAAAGAACAAACCAAACGCTGAGGAGGAAGAAGAAGAAATCAAATTATTATTTAAATAAAACCGATATTTTTTAATATACCTACCTTTCATTTTTGGTTTTTAATATTATATAATTGTTTTTTCACTCCGTTAATCACCAATTTCTTCAGGGTCTTTGCGGTACTTTCAACAACAACCAAAAAGACGATTTCTTAACCCCACAAGACGATGTTGAACAATCGGTCATTGCTTTTGCCAACAAGTGGAAGACTACTGAACATTGCCAAGACCTTCCAGAAGTGGTTCCAACCCACCCATGCGACCGAAATATCCACAGAAGAGGACAAGCTGAAGAATACTGTGCCAAAATCAAATCAGAGCTATTCAAAGGTAAGATGTGTTTGGAGTAATATATTATCAGCATTTTATAATTGTAATTCGCTTATATATTTGGTGATTTTAACTTTGATTGGAATGAAATAAACTATTATAGTCTCGTAACAAATCACCATTTACTTCCTTAATTTTTTACAATTATTATTAAACATAAGTCAAAAGTGTTTGACCCAACTTAATCTTTTATTAAAAAAATAATAAGCATGCATTTTTCAGGTAAGCTTATCAGTCCAGTCAATTTTCTAGGCAATGACACTAAAACAGCGCATGATCATTTATGCGAAGAGCATTTTCAATTTATCAATGAAAATAGTGAGTCCACTTTTAAAGTACACGCTTCCAAGTCAAGCGACTAGCACTGGGACATGCTTTTCAATGGTTTTTCAATCTTTGCAGGTGCTTTTTGGGAAAATAAATTATGCAATATTATTAAAAGAGATCTTTTAATACAATCATATAGTAAGAATTAATAAACTTATTGGTAGATTGTTAACTGTCATAAGTCAATAAATCTGACTGGGCTTGGTAGGCAATAATATCATACATAGGAATATTTCCATAGTATTTTCTAATTTTTGCTTAACACTATCAAGTTTTATCTATTTAATTTACTATGCATCAACGAATATGATTAAACATGCGAACTTTAAATTTTTCCTTCACTTCATAACGTTTCATCTATATTTTTTTTATCGAGTACTTTTACTAGCCTTGATTGATTAACCTACAATTTTTATCTGATATTTCTTACAAACTAAATTAGGTACTTATCTAAGACATCCCCATTGGCATACCTTAGTTATTTCTGGAACAAGAACTTAACAAATTGGAGCATCGAGTTTCTGCATTCAATGTTCAGTAACAATATTACACTACACTATTACACTAGATCAAACGGCTTCCTTCCCTCAAGCCTTCTGTTTGTTAACAAATTATCAAGAAGCTGCAAGACTTCCTTGTTGATGTGGAATCTCTCTTCGTGCTTCTTTGCGAACCTCTTGAATTCTTCTTTGAGTGTGGGCATCTTCATGTCTCTATCATCATTTCTATAGAACCATGTACATCTGCTATACACCTCAGGATCTAGTTTCTCTTGAAATTTTGGACAACATCTATGTTACTTTTATCTCCACATCCCCAGAATAGTATGACTTACACCCAGATGGTCTTTAGGATTTCTTTAAAATATAGTAACTTATTATATCTATACTAAAAGTTTAGACTTCCCTCCAAGGAGCCAATACATTTTTTTTTTATTTTAGGTCAAGTTCTTTCCTTTTCTTTTTAAATGTGCTTTTCATTTTACCGAACACTTAAGTTCATGCTAAAATACTTAGCTGAGTTGTAGTGGAATCACTTTAATGTTTATTCTATGTTGACAAGGTCATTTTTCAAATAGGTAAAATTAACATGACCTAATTTGCCTTTATTGATTTTTATTTTCCACTCGTTGCATGATGGTTGAAATTTTATCCTATTGTCTCTATTATTTTTACCCACTGCCAGTATAGCTCTATCATTAGCGAATATAGCAATTTTATTATTTCTCTGTTAAGGTATACCATGTGTATACAAAAAATAAAGAACTGGTCCCAGTACACTACCTTGAAGAACACTTGCTTTAATTTCTCTTATTTCAGAACACATCTCTTCTTGCTTGACGCTAAACATTCTTCCTTTGTAATCTGTATTTAATGCCTTCTTCTAAGAGGCTGAAAAAAACTTTGTTTTGGACCCTTTTTAACTTAACACTATTGTAAGCATTGTTGTCTTGCCATAACAAAACTAATATTCACCAAATTCGGTTGATTGTTTGATGAAATTATGATCCAATTGCTTCTGGTAGCTTTTTTGGTGTATACATTGTGTTTATTTGGCTAACAAAAAATCGAAGAACGCATATCATCATATACATATATCAATATATTAAAACACTGCTATTTTGGGAGCAAAATGCTTAATAGGTTAATAGGTGTAAGGGAAACGAAAGACTTGTCACTGATAGCAATAGACTTGAATTGGAGCGATATACATAGGCTTACTTCAAACTTACTTAAAAAAGTTTCTAGTTATATACAAGATTCAAATAGTTTACACCTATAAACCAAAAATAATTACTAATCGTGGAATGTAATACCCTAAACACCACATAATATCCCTGGTAGAAGCTATAGAAATGTTGTTATCTTAATTCTTATTAGAAAAATAAATCGTACTTCTTTTATGCCTTCAATTTTTAATAAATCATTACTAATTTAAACTTTGTTTTAAATATCACTGAAGTTTTAATACACATACCTATAATATAAGCTTTCTATAAGAATACTTACTAACAGACTGGGACTGGGACCTAAGGACTGGGACCTAATCCAGATTTTCCCCAATCACTACTAGAGCAAGCCAGACTTAGGAGGGACTTTGGAACGAATCACCACGCTTTGTTGCAGAGTGCTATGAGAAACAATAATTAAAAAAAAATAGGAATCAACATAATTATCGAATATTGGGGAGTATCTGAACAACTTAAGGTTTGCTGACAACATAGTCCTTATTACAGATCGGGTATATCATGCAAGCCAACTTCACAGATATTTCCATGTGCTCAAAAGCACCTTCACAGATATTTCCATGTGCTCAAAAAGAAAGATCTTCGATTAGAGTATGTTTCCGATTATAACGTATGGAGCAGAAACACTGAGGCTTTCCAGAAAAGTAATAAATAAAATACAAGTGGAACAAAAAACAACGAAGAGGTTAATGTGATATATATATATATATATATATATATATATATATATATATATATATATATATTCTTTAAAGACAAAGTTTCAAATCAAATAGTATTAGGAGAAAAACTACTACAACAAGTGTTGCAGGCCATGTTGCAGAGACATATATGGAAGATGGACCAAGAAAATTTTAGAATAGAGATCTAGATGTGATGTTTATTGTGATCGAAGAAGTCCTCCAACAAGAAGATTGAACTGTATCAAGCACATTCAGTACAACTGCATAGAGAAAAAAGCATAGACAATACCAGAAAAAAAAATTCGGGAAAATAAAATAATGGATACTCAAAATACAATATTAAACGTTGTTAGTATATTACGGATCAAATTTAGCTGTCGTCTACTATATAAATATATTCTGATTTATTGAAGGTTACTACTATTGATTTATTGCAATCATTATCAATGAAAATAAAGAAATTTTTGACATTTAATACATCCAAAACAAAAGAGATCCAGGAGTGATTAGTGGATCTTCTTAAATTGGCATATTTGTATTTAGTCAATGTTATTTTTGTAATAAAAAATCTAAACATTCTTGATCCCAGCTTTAAAAAAAAGCCACATCTAAAACTGTATTATCACATAAATCAAACAAATTTTTTCATTAATCCATAAGCTTGTCGGAAAATTTGATAACATCATGTAAAGAATACTGCAAAATGTTTTAATGACATAATGGTTTGTAAGATGCTCCTTCCTTACAATTTACTTGTTTACAGGTTGCCATTGGTTCGTCGACCCTGAACAATTCTACAAAGATTGTCTCTACGACATGTGCTCCTGTGAATCCCCTGTAAGTAAAATAATAAATTGATTTCTTTAACTATATAAATCTCTATTGAAACGTTTCCATTTTTGGAACAAAATATTTATGGTTTTGAAATTTATAGGTTTCCAAATGTCTTTGTCCAATCATGGCCAGCTACGCCAGCGAGTGTTCTCGTCAAGGAATTAAGGTAGACTGGAGAAGCGAAGTCCGCGAATGTGGCGTCCACTGTCCAGGTGGTCAGAAATACCAAGTTTGTGGCGACTCATGTTCAAGAACTTGTCGCGACATCTCTGACGATACCAATTGTAAACCCCAGTGTGTCGAAGGTTGCAACTGTCCTGACGGTCAGACCTTAGATGACAATGGCGAATGTATTCCAATTGGACAATGTAAATGTCATTACCGCGGAATGGAGTTCCCACCCGGATATAGGGAAATCAGACCTGCTACTAAAGCTCCAGAACTATGGTAAGTTTTTTGATAATAAAATTTTGATGATAAAAATAGTTATTTTTGACATCACTTTTGTTAATATACTATAACAGCCTTCGATCCAAATAATTATTATATTTAATTTTAAAAGCATGTCTCTTATCATCCTCCAAGTAGGATGAATTGAAGTCTTTAATGCTTGGAGTATTCCATATAATTCTGCGGTGTAGATACTACAACTTTTAGGTAATCGCACAGAGGTTATTGTCGTGGTCAGTGTAGACACAGCGGAGCCATAACAGTCTTCATTCTTGGACGCATCAGTGTATAAAATTTTATCAAATTGTGTTAAGTTGAGGATGTTTTGAAAGGATTTTCTAAGGATTGATTTTGGGGTTTCTGCTTTGTCGAATCTGCGTAAATCAGTATTGAAAATTGGAAAATTGTACATCCATGGACCTGTCTTGGGGGTATAAATAGAAGTAGTATTGGAAAGGTTGATGGAATCTAATAAAGGAGATAATATTTGTGGTAATGTAAGAGACTGATTGGATGCGTTTACTGAGGGAGGTTCTATGGGATTGATTAGATTTATTACCGGGTTACTTAGGTTTGCTGAATTCTTACAAAGTATGAAATTAGAAGCTGTTGCCTTCTTAGATAGAGTGGTGGTGCTGAAGATTCAACGCAAACACTTTCAGCGGGGCTTGATTTGAAAGCGCGAAGGTATGATCGTAAGCATGTATTTTGAATCGTGTTTGGAGACTTTAGTAGAGAGCTACTAGATGCTATATAAAGAATACTCTGAATGCAGTATTAATAAATAGCAAATAAATATGGTTTAATGAACGACTCAGTATTATAGTATTAATCAGTCCTGAGTATCCAATTAATTATTACAGTTAGAAATATGTGGGATATTAAGTTAAATCATCCATTATTATCCAATATGTACTCAATATTTTTTATATTTTTCAGTTCCTGTGTCAGTGCTGTATGGGAATGTTTCGAAGCCACCCAAGAAGACATCGAAATGTATCCTAGCTCAGAATTAGTTCAAAACAAGTGTAATGCATCTGCAAACCTTGAATTCACCACCTGTGAACCTGTGGAACCACTCACCTGTAAGGTATGTATTTGCAAAGACAAAATATCAATAAAAGTTATTTTTAAAAGTTGTAGTATCAATACATAAACGTTACATGTAGATAATATCGATTTTATACCTTTGTAGAACATGCACTCTCCACCACAAGTATCTCCTGCTATTTGTCATTCTGGTTGCAAATGTAAAGAGGGATATGTCCTTGACACGACAACCAAAAGATGTGTTAAACCTACTGAATGTCCATGTCACCATGCCAGCAAGAGCTACAAGGAAGGTGCTATTGTCCAAAGCGGATGCAATACATGGTAAGAAGGAAGTAGTTTAAAATACATAACACAATACCAAAAATAAACAACTCTTAATACTCGTATTACATCTCAACGATAAATGTCAGTTCTTCAATATTATTTATCTTGCAGTACTTGTCGAAATGGTAAATGGGGATGTACTGACCGTCAATGTGCAGCTGAATGTAGCGCATGGGGAGATTCTCACTACAAAACCTTCGATGGAAAACGGTTCGATTATCAAGGAGAATGTGACTATGTTTTGGCAAAAGGAAGCCTTGGACAAGATTCTTTCCACGTTTCAGTTCAAGTACGTAAACTATATCAAAGCTTGTAAAAATAATAATATTGTTAAATGTCTATATTACCAAAATTTTAATTTCTTATTTTTGTAGAACGTACCATGTGGATCATTGGGTACCGCTTGTTTCAAATCTGTTACCATCAAAGTTACTTCAGGTGGATCATCTGATGTTATTACTTTAGAAAAAGACAAACGTTTGCCAAGCCTCAAGACCTTTAAGCATATTACTGTTAGAGAAAAGAGTCTGTTTGTTATCGTGGAGGCTCCCGATCTAGGATTTGTCGTCCACTGGGACAGAGGAACTAGAGTATATGTCAGAATCGATCCCAGATGGAAGGATACGGTGAGTTTCATAACACGAATAACTGAAAATATTGCTCGTTTTATTGGATTATGTTTTTCTAATATGTAATATTATTTTGCAGACTAAAGGTTTATGTGGTAACTACAACGACAACGAAGTTGATGATTTCCAGACTCCTTCTGGTGGTCTTGCTGAAGTTTCAGCCAATATATTTGGTGACTCTTGGAGATTACAATCATACTGTACTGAAGCTCCAGAAATTAAGGTAATTAGATTCAAAAAATTAAGTACAATAGTAAAGATAGCATGGGAAGAAAAGACAAGCCATTTTTACTTTTTAAACATATTGTAATTCATTGTTTTTTTTTCTTTTTAGGATACCTGCGAACAACGACCAGATCGTAAAGTCTGGGCTACCAAGAAGTGTGGTGTATTAAAATCATCACTTTTCTCCCATGTCACTCTGAAGTTTCCGTAGACTACTTCTTTGAAAAATGTATCTTCGATAGCTGCGCTTGTGATCAAGGTGGTGATTGTGAATGTATGTGTACAGCTTTGGCTGCCTATGCTCAGGAATGTAACAACAGAGGAGTGCCAATCAAATGGAGAAGTCCTGAATTCTGCCGTAAGTCTCTGGTTTATTTTGAATAATACTAAATTAGTCTTTGAAATCCTAATTGTCAGAATATATTTTTATGTCCAATTGTACATTTTAGCAATGCAATGTGACGAACGTTGCACCACTTACAGCCCATGTATTTCCACTTGTCCAGAAGAAACTTGTGACAACCTCCTCATGAACAAGAAATACTCAAAGACTTGCGGTGAAGACAGTTGCATCGAAGGTTGTGCTCCTAAACGTTGTCCACCTGGAAAAGTTTACAAAAACAGCACCCATTTAGAATGTGTACCTTTGCAACAATGTAAGCCTATCTGTTTAGTTGTCGACGGCAAAACTTACTACGAAGGAGACCTCATGGAAGAAGACGATTGCCACAGTTGTTATTGTTCCAGAGAAGAAAAGAAATGCAGGTTAGTGTTTTTATTAAATATGGTTCGATATCAGTATACATACATACAATTGATGTCTATTACTGAAAATAAATGTCTTAATAATTTTTTCAAGCTAATATCATTGGCCTATCAATATGTTACTAGTCGCTGAATCTTTTTTCTTCTGTAAAAAAATAATCAATGAACTTTTAGAATTGTAACAAATACTTTTCTTATAGTGTTTTTTATATCCGTAGGCATTCCAAAGTATCTAATGTTACTTAAATCTTCTTTTTAGAATTACGTCTACCTACGGAGGTTAGCAATCAGAATGGATATTTTTATATTTTAAGTTAGTGGGCTAAACAAATCAATTAATCTGCATTGATACCAATCCCACAGACTCTTTAACCAAAAATTATGTCTTCAACTTATTGTATAGATCATTTTCTTGAATCATTCCCTGCACTTATATTCCAAATATTTCATAATTTAGCTCTCTCCTGCCCCAAGTATTCCAATAAAGTGGTGATTAGATTAATAATATTGAAAATATGCGCACTCTTATTGCTAATTTTAGATTTCTACATGTTAGGATTGGTTTCATTCATATAAATGCTGATCTGTCCATCTCTGGATCTGAAGTATGACCATTTGTTTCATTGATCAAAGTTATCAATATTTCTATTTATTTCATCACTTGTTACCATATATTGGCAATATGTATTCCATATGTTGTACTTCGTTTTTTAACATCTATATAAATTCCCCTGTCCTCCTATGCTCGTTGGAGTGATCACAGTGTCATCTATATATCGCAAGTGTTTGATTAATTTTTCGTTAAGAGTAACTCTCGCTTTGATATTATTGGATGTATTGTTTTTGAATATTAATTCAAAATATAAAGTTAACAAAAGCGGTAATAAAACGCATCCCTGTCTAACTCTACAGATATTCATTTCTTCTAACTGCTGTCCATCAATTTGCACTGCGATACACTGGTTCCAATATATATTATAGTTTATTTTTAGAAATTAAATGCCAAGTTTTTCATTCTTTCTTTATCGAAAGCTTTTTAATAGTCAACAAAGCACAAGTGTAGGTCAGCTTTTACATCACGACGTGGTTAGATCAGTATGTGCATGGTAAATAGTCCTTCTTGCGTACTCATTCCATTTCAGATCTTACTAATCTCCTGTTCTGAAGCAGTACTTTTAAATGTGACTCATTAAGCTTAGTTTTTAATATTCCCTTTAAGTTTGGTATGTAGAGAGCACTCTTTCGCTGCTTATTTTGTTGTGTTACTGTGTTAAACAAGTCTGCCAATATTCCCAAGTTATCCTCTTCCACTAAAGAGTCTTAATTTATTTATATAGCATATTTATTTTGTCTAATCATAATTTTCTGTATTCTGTTGATCAAAAGCTTCCATATATTTTCATTTTTTTTATTACGCCAGTTATATGTCCTAACAGCGTTTCCTAATACATTTTAAAGCTATCGAGTTTTAAGTAAATATTAGATTTCGAATTTCTTCAAAATATTAATATTAATTAAAACTTTTTTAGTGGTCAGCCTTGCTCAACCACTGTAGTACCAACCAGATCTACGACCAACCAGAATGAGCAACAAATTAACTGTGAAGGTGGTTGGACCGCATGGATCAACCAAGACGCTGAGGGAGAAAAAGAAGATCTTAGAGAAGAGGAAATTGAACCTGTTCCATCTTCTACAATACTGGTAAGGACATAAATATATTTACCTGATCCAATTAGTCAAATTAATAAAAACAATACAAAACCGACATTGCATGGAAAGGATTTAGCTTAAACAAATTTTTTCTAATTTTTTTCTTTGATTTTAGGTTAATCTAAAGGACTCTGCTAAATGTAATTCCGATATGATGGTAGATATTGAATGCAGAACTGTTCTGGGCCGTATTCCAGCTAAAGAACTCGCTGATACTGGTTTGGACATCGAATGTTCTCTTGAAAGAGGTCTTGTCTGCAAGGCTGGAAACAACAAACTTTGTCCAGACTTTGAGGTCCGAGTCAATTGCCAATGTGGTAAGTAATAATCCAAAAATATAATTAAGCAATAATTGTAAAAGCCTTACATACGTATTTAAAAATCAGTACATAATATATAAAAAGAAAACCGGTTATTTGCAACAAAAAAAGCAAAACATTTAGAAAATGTAGTTTTCAACGGACTTCATATTTCAATGTATTATACTTTATTTGCAAATTTATCTTCAACATATTTCTCAATTTTAGAAGCCACAACCACTCCAGCTGAAGTAGTTACCTCCACCACAGAGAAATCTGTCACTACCCAGCGACCAACTGAAGCAACTACAACCCAGAGACCCTCTACTACCGTACGAACCACCACCGAAGAGGTTGTCATTACTACAGCAGAACCGATTTGTGTTATTGGAGATAGCAAGGAAGATTTAAGAGACTGTTCAGTCTACTACGTCTGTACTGGAGGAGTACCCATGACTGAATGGGTCAAGATGACCTGTGCAGATGGTACTTTGTATAATCCAGTAAGGAAAAGTTTGCGATTGGCCCAGAGAAGTTGAAGAAGTGAAACCATCATGTAAGTATTATATTGGTTGTTTATTTTCAAGTTGGAATAGTCCTTTTGGTGCATCTTATATACTTTGTTCTCTAGCCGTCAATTTTACTAATTATTTGTTCGTTTTTTTTTTATTTTAGGCGCAGCTGCAACAACAGCCGAACCAATACGTAAGTATCTGTTTTAATATTTAATATTATATTTAATTACATTACAAGTTTACAACATTCTCGAAAGTCGATTAAAAATCTACTGAAAATACGAACACCCAGAATACCATTATAATGAAGCTGTAGAAAAGAGAAGCAAAAAGAATACAAAATCTATTAAGAATGGACAACAGAAATCATTAAAGTGAACAAATCCAATAATCGATTTATAACAAAAACCTTAAAGATCTAAGAAGAAATAAACACATTTCAAAAAAGAAATAACGAAATTAGAGGGTAAAGATGAAACTATGATTGAGCTTTACTGCACGTGTTATATTTTTATTTTTTAAATGGTTCTGGAGACCGTAAACAGTTCTGTTTACTATTGCTATGCGTCTTTTTATTTCGTTGCTTGTCGTGTTTGTTGCGTTTACTAGCGATTCAAGATATCTGACTTCTTTGACTTGCTCAAAGGTATGATTGTTAATTTGAATTTTCTGTTGGATATTTCGGGGGTTTTTAGAAACCAACATATATTTGATTTTTTCTTCGTTAACCACAAGTTCTAATTCACTTGCCGCTTTCGCAAGCCTTTTAAAACACTGCACCATGTCTCTTATACTTCTGCCCACTATAACTATATCGTGAGCGAATGCGAGAATTTGCGTCGATTTATTAAAAATAGTTTTTATTCCATTCCATTCATTCTAATATTTAATTTTCTGATTGCCTTTTTCAAGGCAATATTAAAGAGGAAACACGCCTGCGCGTACCTTCTGTCTTAGACCATTATTAATGTCAAAGAACGTAGAGTTTCTCCTTCAATTCTAACGTATGAGTTTACGTTTTGCATTTTTTTTTGGTTAAGTGGGATTCCAAAGTCTATCATTTGCATTATATAATGCAGTTCTTTTCACACTGTCATAGGCTACTTTAAAGTGGATGAAGAGATGGTGTGTATCTATGTTATATTCTAGCGACTTTTCTAGAATTTGCCTATGTGCTTGAATTTGATGTGTAGTTGACTTTCCAGCAGTAAATCCGCATTGATATTGACCAACAATATCCTTTGTAAAATGTTTAGGTTGACATAAGGTTGAATGCTCGAATAAATGAACTTTGATCAAATAAAAGGCAAATATCGAGTACAGTTTAATGAATTTAATCTTGTCTAAGTACATTCGCTGGCTTGAGCATCTTCAGGGGCATTTCGTCAATTGTAGCCTATCCGACAAGAATAAAATGTAATATTGTTATAGAAGCCGGAGACAGAATGCCCTCTGTACACAATGAAGCTTTACCTATTTTTAAAAAAATTTTAAAGTGTTTGTTTGTCATTGTGTAGTGTATTGTGATGTACCATTTTATGTAAATTTTATTCTTGTCCGATATGCCACAATTGACGAAATGCTGTTGAAGATGCTCTAGGGAGCGAAAGTGCTTGGGCAAGATTAAATTAGTTAAACTGTGCTAGATATTTGCCTGTTATTTGATCAAATGTTTACGTCTTTCAAACAATACATTGCCGAAGATTTTATACGCAGATACTAACCAAGTAATGCCTCTATAGTTCTTACATTCCAGTCGATTACCCTTTCTATGAAATGGATATATTATTCCCTTAGTCCAATACCTTCTGGTACCAATTCATTCTACCATATAAGTACTACATATTAGTTTATGGATTGCTGCAAAAAATTGATCACCACATTTTTTCTACATTTCCGAACAGATTTCATCGATGCCTGGGACTTTATTGTCTCTATCTAACTAAAACAGAGTTTTGGGATGGCATTTGACACTTTTTCTCTTGTTGGGTCTTCACCGTGTAGTTGACGTTGTATATTTTGTTGATTTTCTATGTTGTTACCTTCTTCAATATCGTTTATATTTAGATGTTCGGTGAAATGGTTTGCCCATGTGTTAAGAACTGAGTTTTTATCATGTAGAATTTCACCGTTAGTCTCTTTGCAAATTTTTAATCATCGTTTAAATTCTCGACGGGTATTATTTAAGGATTTGTAGTATGTCCTCTTTTCATTTTTATCGAGTAAACTTTTTATCTCATTAAGAGATAAAAATTTGTATTCCCTCTTCTTACATTGAGTTGATGGATACGTTTTTTCTCTCTTCTAAGACGTCTATACTCTTCTTTTTTTCTCCGATTACAGCCTACCTCGATGGTTTTTTCATATGCTGCGTTCTTTCTATTTCGCACTCATAATCAAACCAATGATTTCTTTTTTCTTACTTGGTTTTGCCTAATATTTCAACCTATTTCTGTAACACAATAACTCGTATATTTGCCCATAGTTGGTTAATGTCTTCATCTTCTAAGTTTTTTGTCCTTATTTGATCTTGTATTTGCTGTCTGTATACATTTGCAATGTTTGGATCTTTTAGTTTCATAATATCGATTTTTTCTCTCCTTCTCTCGATCTCATTTTTTAAATTGGATATTCTCTCTTTAAATCGTCTTCTAACTAAATAGTGATCACTATCTATGTTTGCCCCTCTAAAAGACCTAACATCTAATAAGTTAGAGCAGTGTCTTGCATCGATTATTATATGATCTATTTAGTTAATCGTTTCATTATCAGGAGATTTCCAAGTTCCCTTATGTATTACACAGAATTATACAGAAGTCAACAAAACCATGATGAACAACAAAAAGAAAAATAAAAAAATTCAACTAAAAGAGTGGTTAACCAATGATGGGAAGAGATGTATGATATATCAACCAACCTAAGAAGGAACTCACTGAAAAAAATAAAAAGAAATAAAGCTCCGGGAGAAGCTTGAAGTTGAACTTATGTCTGCACAAAAACAAAACACTCATAAAATGGCATAGTGCACTTACCATTTTATTCCTTAAAAAAGGTGATCCAACACACCTCGAAAATTATCGACCCAGAAGCCTGTCGAACCACCTCTACAAGTTATTCACAAAATAATAATAAATAGACTAGAAATAAAAATTAGGTTTTTACCAACAGACGGATTTTAGGAAAAACTTTGTCACTAACAATCACCTCTACTGCAAAGGGATTATCGGAAAATCCATCAAATGCAACATCCAACCACTGGTCCTGATTTTCATAAACTTTTGCTATAGATAATAGCAAAGAAAAATTATTGTATAGATAATAGGTACTCCTAACTGATCGGAAACGTATACAATATTGCAACCATGACCCTAGGATTAAACAAAGATACAAACTGTAGAAAAATTAAAAGGGGAATCAGACAGGTTATCTCCCAAATCCTTTACGTGAATCTTGCCTCCTGAAACATACTTTCAAACAGTTGGACACCAAAGAAATCAATGTCAACGGCTATCAGATATCTTCAAGAATAATATACCAAATTATTATAGAAAAAGACATTCATCTAATGTGCACTCTCAATGGCTGACATCATCGAAACATATTTGTCCCAGGCAATATCAAGCAAGCTTATAGTAGCGCAAAAAAGAATGAAACAAAATATCAATATTTTATAAATATAAATACTTAGGTCATGACATTCAAATTGCCAGGGAAAACCAAATCACTGAACTGCAAATAAGAATCACTTTAGCATTAGGCGCATATGGAGCTCTAACAGATATCTTTAATAGTAACATGCCAAATTGTTTGAAAAAGAAGACATTCGAATATGTACTTCCAGGCATGACTTTTAACGCCGAAATACTGTTCACAGTCTTAACCCAGTCTAGATTAACCAAGCTCACAGTAGACCAAAGTATAAAACGGTTGTTACTTGGACTGGCTCTCAAATAAAGGGTTCTTTATGTCGTCTTCTAACGAATGTTGCCGATCACTTCTTTAAATGCTTCCCCATCTTTTGCAATGTGAAATATCTGTTTACTACTGAGGTTAGTCCAATCTCTTATATTCCTTAGCTAAGATTTCTTCCTTCTTCCCAAGCCCTTTCTTCTCTTTACTCTTTCTTGCATGATAATGTGTAGTAGAGAATGTTTATCGTTAAGAAGTATGTGTTTTCTTATCGAAGAAATAAGAGAGGGTTAATAACGAGGAATTAACAAGAAGGACGGGCGTCACAGATTTCTTAAAGCGGATAGCGTGGCTAAAGCGAAACTGGGTGAGTCCTGTGGCCAGAATCAATGACGTGTAGTAAAACAGAAAAATCAGAGCGTGGAGACCACAAGCAGACAAGAAAAGTGGAGTTATAAAACCTACACGATGAACAGATGACCTAAAAGAATTGCTGGTACTGGCTGCAGGATGCTCTAGATGAAGTTTTTTTACTATGTTCTATATATCGAAATAATTATTTATTTTTATTTTAGCAACATGTGCTCCTGGTACCGTATACGACAAATGCGCAATCAGATGTGACCAACTTTGTCAATATTATGGATTCTTAGTTAGAGAACAAGGTTATTGTAAGGGTGAAACAGTATGTGAAGCTGGATGCGTATCAGCTTCAAAGGATAAAGAATGCCCTGCTGGATCAGCTTGGTTGAACGACCAAACATGTGTAGATGTTGCTTCATGTCTTTGTGCTACCGAGGAAGGCAAACCAATTAAGGTAATTATAAGTTTCCCACTATTTTTCATACCTTCTTCCTATTCGTAGGCAAATTTATTAAAATAATGTATTATCACATTTTTTAGCCTGGTAAAGTAATTGATGAAGGTGATTGCAAAAAATGCCAATGTATCAACAATGCTTTCACATGTCATGAAGAAGGCTGCACTACTAACTACGAAGTAACTGAAACTGTAACTGAGGGAACTACAACCACCACTGTAAGATCTACAACGGAAAAAGAACTCGAATGTACCACAGGCTGGACTTCTTGGATTAACCAAGACGTGCCAGAAACCGAGGGTGAATTAAGAACAGAAGATATTGAACCTATTCCTTCAACTTCGATATTGGTAAGTTATTGCTTAATTTATTGGTAAGTCATAAATAATGCTTATGACTCCTTTTGCTAATATAATATTTACATTTACCAGATTTTATTTTAAATTTTGGTTTATTCTATAGCAATACCTGAAGGACTCGCCCAAATGTGACTATGATATGATGGTTGATATCCAATGTAGAACCGTCAAGGGTGGTTTTTCTGCTAGCCAAGTTGCCAAAGAAACTGGGTTAGATATTGAATGTTCTCTAGAAAAGGGTCTAGTCTGTAAAGCTAATTCACCTGACAACTTATGCCCAGATTTTGAAGTACGAGTCAAATGTCAGTGTGGTAAGTTACCTAAATTATTGTTCATTATCTTCTTATCTAAATATTTTATTAACCTTAGAGCCAACTACAACTTCAAGTACCAGTAGGCCTACTACCAGTACTACCACAGTTGCACCAACAACTACCAGCACAGCTACTTCAACAACCCCAGAAGAATTCGAGTGTCAAACTGGTTGGACTTCTTGGATAAACCAGGATGTTCCAAACACTGAAGGTGAATTAAGACAGGAAGATGTAGAACCAGTTCCTTCCACATCAATACTAGTAAGCTAATCGATTTTTTTTAATATTAAATGTATCGTATTTTCACTACTAAATAGTACTGGAATCGTCTCCAAGGCTCAACATTCATTATATTGCTTGGGAATTGTGAAAATGCATAGCAACACAATTTCTTCTTTTTCGGCTTTTTTCCATCAAGAATTCTCCATTTCATAGTACGCTATTCTCCTAGTGACCTTCTCTGAGGTAACTATGTACCATAGCACTTCCTATGTACGTTTTCCACCTCATAGCAGGTCTTTCTCTCCGTTTTCTTCCCGACGGGTTCCAGTCCAATATTCTTTTCGGCCACATATGCTCTGGCATTCTTTGAACATGCCCGTACCACTGCAGGGCCCTATTTTCCAACATATTATTCTCTTAATAATTTTTTTGTTTGTTATATTTTAAATAGTCTTTAGTCATACAACTCAATCATAGGTAAAGAAATAATAAATAAGACTTACAATCAATTTAATTTTACTATCTAGATGACCGGTGTCGCTTTCTACAATATGCAAAGCATCTTCAGGTCTCGATACAAAGTTAAATAAATGCTGAAATAATAATAAACTCCTATTAGGGTGTTGTCTAATAAAGATAAACAAAGTAGATGATATAAATTACAGTAATTATGCCAATATTACATGTCTGTGGTTTTTCAAAAGCTTCATTCTTTCAATACATATTGTATTACTCTTATAACATTAGGTTTAATTGGTTGTATGTGAAAATTATTGCCAACTGTACTAAAATCAAAAGTATTTTCATATTTACAAAACTATTTAATAGACACATTAAACAATACTTTATAAAATTTTAATATTATTTATTATTTTACAGTCACACTTGAAAGATTCACCTAAATGTGACAGTGATATGATGGTTGATATTCAATGTAGAACTGTTAAGGATGGAGTATCTGCTTACACTATTGCCAAAGAAACAGGATTAGACATTGAATGTTCTTTGGACAGGGGATTGATATGTAAAGCGACAGGAGATGGCAACTTATGTCCTGATTTTGAAGTGCGCGTGAAATGCCAGTGTGGTAATTATCCTTTTTCAATTTTTTGTTTTCTTTTTTCTAAATTTTTTTATTTATATAAATTTATTATTACTATTATTATTTTTTTCATAGAACCTACAACAGTAACAAAGGCCACAACAAGACCTACAGCACGAACAGAACCAACAAGTAAAGTAACCAGCAGACCTACTATTGCTACTGCCCCCACTGAAATAACAGAAGAACCTGTAACTACAAAGAAGGCTACCTCTTCAAGTAGCGCCCCTACCACAGCAGAAGTGGAAATTGGATGTGAAACTGGCTGGACTTCATGGATTAACCAAGACGTCCCATCTGTTGAAGGTGAATTGAGAGAAGAAGATATCGAACCCGTTCCATCAACTTCTATCTTGGTAAGTAGAATATATATTATTGTTGTAAAAACAAAGTGATTGTTTTTTACATAGGTACCAATATTTTATTTTGTCTATTTTTTAGCAATACCTTAAAGACTCTCCAAAATGTGACTACGATATGATGGTTGACATTCAATGTAGAACCGTCAAAGGAGGTTTCTCTGCTAGTGAAGTCGCCCAGTCAACTGGCCTGGATATTGAATGTTCGTTGGAGAAGGGTTTGGTCTGCAAAGCAAATTCACCTGACAATTTATGTCCAGATTTCGAAGTACGCGTTAAATGTCAATGTGGTAAATAAATAGTTTTAATATCTTCTGATTTTAAATCTCTCATTTTATATTATTCTTTTATAGAGCCAACTACAACTGCAAAGGTAACTAAACAACCAACTACTACAGCTTTACCAACAGAAACAGAAACTGAGGAAGAAACAACTACAAGGAAAGCAACAACCACCACCACTGTGGCACCAACTACTGAAGAACCTGGATGCCAAACTGGATGGACTTCATGGATTAACCAGGATGTTCCAAATAATGAAAGTGGACTTAGAGAAGAAGATATAGAACCTGTTCCTTCTACTGAAATACTTGTAAGTATTTCCTTTTGAGATATAACAATAATATAATATTTAAATTCTTCGTATTTGTGGAAACCTCTAAATTAATCAAATTAATTAATTTTTCTTTATAGCAACATTTGAAAGATTCTCCAAAATGTGACTCAGATATGCTCGTCGATATTCAATGCAGTACTGTAGAAGGAGTCTCTGCTTACACGGTAGCTAAGGAAACAGGTCTGGACATTGAATGTTCTTTAGAAAGAGGTTTAATATGTAAATCTACCGACCCTAACAATTTATGCCCAGACTTTAAAGTACGCGTGAAATGTCAATGTGGTAAGTAATTGCTTTAAGTAAAAATATTTAATTTAATAAAAAAAAATTAATTTAAGAACCAACTACCGTCACCAAAGTTACAACTAGACCTACAGAGACAACCAGAACTACCAAGAAAGTAACCACTAGACCTACAATTGCAACAGCTCCAACAGAAATCACAGAAGAAGTTACTACCAGAAAGATATCAAGCACGAGTCAAGCTCCAACTCAAACCACTACCCAAGAAATTACTTGTGAAACTGGCTGGACTTCTTGGATCAATCAAGATGTTCCACCAACTGAAGGTGAATTGAAAGAAGTAGACAGAGAACCAATTCCATCAATCTCGATAATTGTAAGTTATATGTTATATATCCATTATATTTGATTTAAGTATAAGCATATTAATTTGCTATTTAAATATAAAATACCTTTTTTTCTATTTTAGCAATCTCTCAAAGACTCACCCAAGTGTGACTACGATATGATGGTTGATATTCAATGCAGAACTGTCAAAGGAGGTTTTTCTGCTAGCGAAGTTGCTGAATCTACTGGTTTGGATATAACATGTTCCCTAGAACAAGGTTTAGTATGCAATTCAAATGGAAATGGCAAGTTATGTCCTGACTTTGAAGTGCGTCTTAGATGTCAATGCGGTAAGGATATTTACATCGCTATATCTTAATATTTACCTGTTTGAAATTGCAACTTATATAATAAATTTGTATATCTTTATAGAAGGTACAACAACCGTAACTACAAGAAAACCTACTAGTAAAGCTCTTCCCACAGAAACTGAAGTCACTGAGGAAGAATTAACTTCCACAACAAGCAAAGCCACCACTCAATCGACACAAACAACTGAAGTAGATATAGGTTGTGAAACTGGCTGGACTTCATGGATTAACCAAGATGTTCCAAGAAACGAAGATGAATTACGAAAAGAAGACATCGAACCTGTTCCTTCTACTTCAATATTGGTAATATGCTTTCCTTATTAACATATGTCTTTTTTAAATTGGTGCTAAAAATTTAATGTATTGTATTTTACAACTACTTTATTTTTAGAAATACTTGAAGGACTCACCCAAATGTAATTCTGATATGTTTGTTAACATTCAATGTAGAACTGTTAAAAATGGTGATTCAGCTTACAAAGTTTCAAAAGAAACAGGTCTAGATATCGAATGTTCCCTAGAAAATGGACTGGTTTGTAGATCGCCTGGCAACGAATCACTGTGTCCAGACTTCGAAGTCAGAGTAAAATGTCAGTGTGGTAAGTTAACTATATTAAAGAGATTTTAAACAACATATATAAAAATTTATTATATTGTTTACAGAAGCCACCACAGTTACTAAGGCAACTACAAGCCATACAACTAAGATATTGCCAACAGAAACTACAGAAGGTGTAACAACTACTATTAAACTTACAACAAGACCAACCATTAAGACAGCTCCAACTGAAATAACGGAAGAAATAACCAGCACCACCAGAACAGTAACAACTACCAGCAGAGTTACTCCTGTACCCACACAAACAACTACTGAAGAAAAAATTGAATGTCTAACTGGATGGACTTCATGGATTAACCAAGATGTTCCAACAAATGAAGACGAACTTAAAGAAAATGATGTTGAACCAGTTCCTTCTACATCTGTTCTTGTAAGTGTATTTTTACTCTTTTTTAATCTTTACAAAAAGCATCTACATATTGATGAAAATTTCAAAAGGTCTAAAGTCGAGTCAATTTAATCAAATCAGTTGGTAAGGATTAAGTAATCACTGGATTCAACGGTTACATTATTATAGAGTACAAATATACCCCTATATGCTTCTAATTGGTATTATTTATTAATTTCAATTATAAAAAGATTTAATGTATTTTATCTACTCTGTGCTAAAACTTAACTTATGATAATTATTATTTTAACAGAAATACTTAGAGGACTCACCCAAATGTGGCTATGATATGATGGTTGATATCCAATGTAGAACTGTGAAAGGAGGTTTCTCTGCTAGTGAAGTTTCAAAGGATACAGGTTTGAATATAGAATGCTCACTCGAACAAGGACTTGTCTGTCAATCACCTGGAAGTGAAAAGGCCTGTCCAGACTTTGAAGTCCGAGTAAGGTGTCAGTGCGGTAAGTGTTATTGTCATGTTCTTCAATTCATTCAGTTAATTATAACATTATCATATATGAATAATTATATAAATTAAATAATATCTAATCACCTTATTAATTTTTACAGAAAGCACCACTACATCAACAACAAGAGTGACTACAAAAACAACAAGCAAATCTCTTCCAACCGAAGTTACGGAAGAAGAAACAACATCAACAACAAGAAGAACACAGCCAACAACAAAACTTCTACCAACAGAAACAACGGAAGAGGAAACTGTTACAACAAAAAGAACCAAACCAACAGAAAGAACTAACAAACCTACTGAAACAACTGAACCTGAAGTGGAGTGTACAACTGGCTGGACTAGTTGGATTAACCAAGATGTTCCAATCAGTGAAGGTGAACTCAAAGAAACAGATATTGAACCAGTGCCTTCAACGTCTGTTCTTGTAAGTACCTTCTTCGTTTAATTATATAAAATATATAAATATGTATAAAAAAATCCAAAGGCACAATGTTAACTCAATCTGATAAAATCAGTTGGATAATGATTATAAAGGAGTAAGAATAAGTTAAATAATTACATTAGATGCAAGTCCTGTTGGGTTCTTTGTATACTGTCTAACTTATAATTTAAGTAGTATTATTTACTAATTTTAAGTAAATAAATATTTACCATACTTATTGCTGTTTCGGTAAAAAACGTAATTTATGGTAATTATTCTTTTTTTAGCAATACTTAAAAGACTCTCCCAAATGTGGCTATGACATGATGGTCGATATCCAATGTAGAACTGTAAAAGGAGGTTTCTCTGCTACTGAAGTTTCTAAGGGTACTGGTTTGGATATAGAATGTTCACTTGAAAATGGACTTGTCTGTAAATCACCTGGAAACGAAAAAGCATGTCCAGACTTTGAAGTACGAGTAAGATGTCAGTGCGGTAAGTGTTATTGACATGGTTTTAATTTACACAGTTAATTTTTAAATGTCCCATATATGACTAATTATATAAAATTAATAATCTCTAATCGTTTTATTGATTTGTGCAGAAGGTACCACTACGACAACAACAAGAGTGACTACCATAACAACGAGCAAATCTCTTCCAACGGAAGTTACGGAAGAAGAAACAACATCAACAACAAAGAGAACCAGACCCACAGAAAGAACTAACAAACCTACTGAAACAACTGAACCTGAAGTGGAGTGCACAACTGGCTGGACTAGTTGGATTAACCAAGATGTTCCAATCACTGAAGGTGAACTCAAAGAAACAGATATCGAACCAGTTCCTTCAACGTCTATCCTTGTAAGTACATTGTTATTCTTTACAGTACACAAAATATCTAGATATGTATAAAAATATCCCAAGGCGCAATGTCGACTTAATCTGATAAAATCAGTAGTAATATAATTTTAAAGGAGTGACAGTTGAATAATAACCTTAGACGCAAACCCTGTTACATTATTTGTATACTGTCTATAACATAATAGTTATACCCTTGTTCTATATCATCGATTAAACAATGGATTGTATTGCTTAGTGTAAATAACGCTAATTTTCTAAAATATTTTTATGGCATGTATAGCCTACATTTATTTGTTTACTACATGCTATTGAGTAAGCTGTAACAAGTATTTATTTAATCATACTTGTAATAAGGCTTAAAGCGTGGAGCTTGACTTCGTAATTCATTTATAAAAGCACGTAAGAGATCAGAGTAGAAGTAGTGGGTATAAACCAAGCCAGAGGTCCTAACGCTTCAGAGATCCTGTTCATGGTCCTTCGAGCCGGATCTGAATCAACGAACTTTTTTATTGACACTAACCCGGTTTTTAATAACTTAAAGGGGAGGGGCATCGGGCTTGTTTTTTTCGACTATTTCTACTTTAATCTGTTAATTTCTTTTAAAAATAAATTACGAGGTCAAGCTACGCACTATAAGCCTTATTACAAATATGATTAAACACATAATTGTTACAGCTTAATTGACAGCATGTGGCAAACAAATAAATGTAGACTACACATGCACTAATATTATTTGAGAAAATTACCATTTACACACGGCAATAAAATCCATTAGTTAATATAATATATCAAAACATCCTCGTATAACATATAAATTAGTGTTATTTGCTAATTTTGAGTAAATAAAGATTTAATACATTTATTTCTATTTCACTATACCACGTAACTTACGGTAATTTTTCTTTTATCAGCAATTCTTAAAAGACTCACCAAAATGTGGTTATGACATGATGGTCGATATCCAATGTAGAACTGTAAAAGGAGGTTTCTCTGCTAGTGAAGTTTCTAAGGATACAGGTTTGGATATAGAATGCTCACTTGAAAATGGACTTGTCTGTAAATCACCTGGAAACGAAAAAGCATGTCCAGACTTTGAAGTACGAGTAAGGTGTCAGTGCGGTGAGTGTTATTGACATGGTTTTAAATTTACTCAGTTAATTTTTAAAAGTCTCATATATGACTAATTATATAAATTTAATAATCTCTAATCGTTTTATTGATTTGTGCAGAAGGTACCACCACGACAACAACAAGAGTGACTACCAAAACAACGAGCAAATCTCTTCCAACGGAAGTTACGGAAGAAGAAACAACATCAACAACAAGAAGAACTAAACCAACTAGCAAACCTACTGAAACAACTGAACCTGAAGTGGAGTGTACAACTGGCTGGACTAGTTGGATTAACCAAGATGTTCCAACCACTGAAGGTGAACTCAAAGAAAATGATATTGAACCAGTTCCTTCAACGTCTATTCTTGTAAGTATTTTGATATTATTTTAATTACACATGCAACATTCAATAACATTAAGATATATTAAGTGACCTTATTCTGTTTATTTTTGTAAACAATTATATTTTGGAATAGAACACAATACCTACGACTGCTAAGTATCTTTGAGAAGTGGGTAAGAACTGTCAGACCTGGAATAACTGTTTTTATAAGAAAATCAAAAAGAATGTGGACAACAAAAAATCAATCGAACTTAATAAGAAGAGATGTTGTCAACCTTCTAGATGTTAAACCATTAACGATTAAAAAACAATATATTAAAATACAAAAAGGTCCAAAATACTTATGGGGAAATGATATAAAAGGGTTTGATCTTGAATTTAGGTCCTTGATGAATTCAAAAATAACATTTTGTAGTTATCTTTTTGAGTATTGAAAATCGTAATTTTGCATTTTTCTCAGTTTTAAATTATTTATAACTCGAAAACGATCAAGTTTGCAAAAAAATCACAAGAGACTTATTTTGTTTAGATTGATCCAAGATATTGAAATAAAGATTGAATATACTTATTCCTACTTCGTTAAAAAACATAACTTATGGTAATTATTTTTTATTAGCAATACTTGAAAGACTCACCCAAATGTGGCTATGACATGATGGTCGATATCCAATGTAGAACTGTAAAAGGAGGTTTCTCTGCTAGTGAAGTTTCTAGGAATACAGGTTTGGATATAGAATGTTCACTTGAAAATGGACTTATCTGCAAATCACCTGGAGACGAAAAAGCATGTCCAGACTTTGAAGTGCGAGTAAGATGTCAGTGCGGTAAGTGTAATTGACATGGTTTTAAATTCACTCAGTCAATTTTTAAAAGTCTTATATTAAATGATTAATTATTTATATTAATTCAATAATCCTTAATTGTTTCATTGATTTGTGCAGAAGGTACCACAACGACAACAACAAGAGTGACTACCAAAACAACGAGCAAATCTCTTCCAACAGAAGTCACGGAAGAAGAAACAACATCAACAACAAGGAGAACTAAACCCACAGAAGGAACTAACAAACCTACTGAAACAACTGAACCTGAAGTGGAGTGCACAACTGGCTGGACTAGTTGGATTAACCAAGATGTTCCAACCAGTGAAGGTGAATTCAAAGAAACTGATATTGAACCAGTTCCTTCAACATCTATTCTTGTAAGTTTATTGTTTTTATTTTAATTACACAAAATATCTAGATATGTATAAAAATATCCGTGGGCACAATGTTTACTCAATCTGATAAAATCTTCTTCTTCTTCTTCGGCTTTTCCCATTATGAGTTCGCCGTTTTCGTCCTCCACAGCACTCTATTCTCCCAGTCATCTTCTCTGAGGTCTCTATCTATCATATCATTTCCGACGTATGTTTTCCATCTTGTAGCAGGTCTTCCTCTCCGTCTTCTTCCCGGCGTGTCCCAGTTTAATATTCTTTCCGGCCACCTACGCTCTTTTAAGCTCTGGCATTCTTTGTACATGCCCGTACCACTGCAGGGCTCTGTTTTCCAACTTTTTTTGTGTAATTGAGCATTCTACTTCCATTCTGTTCCATATTTCCTTCGTTCTGATTCTATCCGCTCTTGTGATTTGTAGACATCTTCTCCAAGTCCAGTTCAACTGTTCTTATTTTATTTCGTATTGTTGTTGTCATTGGCCATACTTCCGCTCCATATAGGGTAATATTCATCACTATGCTTTGAAAGATCCTCTTTTTGTTTTCTTTGGTTAGAGTGTTGTTCCATATCACTTCATGAAGTGCTCTAGTGGCTTATTTTCCCTGTGCTATTTTTATTTCTATATCTTTCATACAAGTACCATCTCGGCTAATCATTGACCCTAAATACTTAAAAGTCTTACAACTCTTAATAGTCTCTTCTCTAAACTTAAGTTCAAATCTGCAACCTCGGGTCCAATACATAAGTATTCGGTCTTGCACATATTTATCTTGAGTCCCAAAAGTTTATATTCTTCCTTTAATTTCCTTATCGTATATTCCATATCCTCCCTGTCTTGTGCAAAAACGACTTGATCATCTGCGAAAAGTAGTGAATATAATATATTCTCTTGTATCGGTATGCCCACTGTTTCGCATTTTCTATACAATCTTTTCAAAGCCTAATCTATATAATATATATATATATATATATATATATATATATATATATATATATATATATATAATATATATATATATATATATATATATATATATATATATATATATATATATATATTGGATTTGAAACTTCCGCGGGAGCTATATGTGATTTCAGTTGTTTTCCGGGTTTGACTCCGCGTTAAGTAATTTTGGTTTTTAGAAAAACCATTGTTTTGACGACGTTTCGGCAAGGTCACACTTGCCATTGTCAAGTCAGATTAGTTCTGCTTCGTCTTGATGTTTCAGGAGAACTGAAACATCAAGACGAAGCAGAACTAATCTGACTTGACAATGGCAAGTGTGACCTTGCCGAAACGTCGTCAAAACAATGGTTTTTCTAAAAACCAAAATTACTTAACGCGGAGTCAAACCCGGAAAACAACTGAAATCATATATATATATATATATATATATATATATATATATATATATATATATATATATATATATGTATATATGTATATATATATATATATATATATATACTTCTAGCGGTTAATATGGGCTCCGTACTAAAACGGTATTATATTAACTCCAGGAGAATATACGCCGTGTATATTATTATCTGAGTAGCGCTTTATGTAGACTCCGACCAATACGTCGGATCAAGTGGACTCCGTAATAGGATCAAACATTGTTGGGATCCGTATATAACTTGTTCCGTACACTTCTTAACTCCTGCGATGTTGCCAATAATTGTATTAGTAGTAGATTTTTAAATTTTATAGGTGGTACATTTTGGAACCTATTAATATGAACATCGAGTAGCGTAATCGTCTAACAGTTTAAGAAACTCTTCTGTAAGATCTTTATAATTTTTCAATTACTGCAGTTTATGGCGTGTAATATTTATTTCATGAAGTAGTTAAAATTAGACTATAATAATTTATAAATTAATCTTTAATATTATAATTTTTTGCTGTCTAATTTCAATATGTTGATTTTTAATTAACAAAATATTTGATGCATTAAAGTCGCGTAGCTATTTTCACCAAACATTCAATTTTAAAGCTATTAGTATAAAAGTCTAAAAAAAAAGTATAAAAATCTAAGGAATTTAATATGGATACACACGTCAGTGTGCTTTTCTCAAGTCTCAAGTTTCTCGAATCCATCAATCATTCATTGTATTTCTTGTACTTTCATTTTAATTCTCTCCAATCAAGATTTTAAAGCAGGTTTGCTCCATTAGTCCATTTTTATTACTTTTTGTCACTATTTCTCCTTTTTCATTATCATCATCATTACGTGGCGCTACAACACTGGGTGGGTCTTCGCTAACTACAAATTTTCTCCAAGTTGATCGATTTTCCACGAATCTGTAATCAAATGAAATGTTAATATTTTGAGATATAATTGGATGTTTTCTCTCCATTGCTTACTGAGACGCCTAAGCGGCATTTTTTCTTCTGTGCTAACTTCCTTCCATACCAGTTTTACAAGTTTGATATATTGGCGTCTATGCATGTGTCCGATCTACCTTAAGCGATTTATTTTTCTGAACAATATCGTTATAAAAGCTTTCTTTATTCAGTATGGGTTCTTATTCTATACGGATTTGTAGCGATATGATAATGAGGTTAAAACATTTTTCTAATTATTTTTATTTCAAATATTCGTACTTCTTCCTTATTTTTTTTAGTCAATGTCAATGATTCGCATCCATGTATTAAAATAGGTCTAAAATTTGAATTATGCTAAAAGTATTTAGTTATTGACATTATTATTAACAGTGATTATTTATCTAAGATATTTAAAGTGTTCCATATTTTTGAAATTGTAGTTGTTAACTTTAATATTTTATCTAGATTTATTAAATTGGTCTTTTCTGTTGATTCGCTTTTATTTGGTTTTCATTTCGTTGATTTCTCGTGCTCTCTTTACTTTATTGAAGATGTTTGCGGACGGGAGAGTTTCTTATGAGATCTATGTCATTAGCATATGCTAGGAGTGCTTTGTACCTTGGGCCTTTAATGAATTACATCTTAAATAGGCGATATTTCCATTTTAGTAAGCTGTTCATTAATTTTTGACTATTTGAATCGACAATCTGTATTTTATTCGACTGTTATATCACAGAGTTTCTTGGCGCATATTTTCATTCTTGGTTTTTTGTTTCCCGTATCATTATTACAAAGATTTTTCTGGATATCGACATAGGGAACCCGGTGGTATGTACGTGATGTTTTCATAACCAACATCGAAAATTTATCTTACTGTAAAGTCATAATGATTTTACTAGGAAATATAGTGTTGTTTAATAATAATAAAGTTCAAGCAACAATTCCTATATGCAATACCTTGGTATGATATTTCTGCTCCCCGATACCAAGTAGCAGTCCCGAAAACATTAAAACTGCTACACTCATGTTTCCTATTATCCAAAAATTAGCCAGTCCAGGACTATACTGCCCTCATAAATGAATAGAATATGTACGGAGGTTTTTGGCAATTCAATAGGATTTTGTGTGTTAGAATATTATTTCTCCGAGAAAGTAAAGAATATTTATTTGCTATCCGAATATAATCCATAAATTAAATATTAGAATGCTATAAAATAATGCTACTAGCAGCAAAAACGGTATAATAGTCACTAATGAGAAAATCAAATAAATGTTTTTTAACATACAAAAGAAAGGATGTAGAGTAAGGCATAACGTAACAATAAAGCTATATAATTTTGAAAGATTGCAGCGTTTTAGATATCGTAGATAACGTTGTCACATAAGAAATAAAAGGAAAAATTCAGGTAGCTAACTGATGTATATAGAACCCTTATAACACTTTTAAATCCAGAAGCCTAATATAAATCTCTAAAATCAGGATATATAAAACAGTGAACCAGTGCTAATGTGTGGATATGTAACGAGAACGTATTACTTAGATCAGGATTGCTAGAAAAGCCATCAGTGGTATTTCCCGACTTACAAAGGTCCGAGTACTAACCAATACCGAACGAAACTAATGCCAAGGTCAAACACATATATAAAGATAGCAACGAGGTACAAGAACCTAAATCTCAACTCCAAAGTTGCGCTGGCTTTATATTTATCAACACCTGCTATCCTACCTACAATCAATACATATCTGTTGAGGACTATCAAATCAATTACACGTAATCAAACGAACTAGGCTTAAAAAAAGTATCCTAGGAAAGGCACTTCCGCAATATTGACATATATTTTGAAAACGCCATTTATGTGGCTGAGTTTGCAATAGGAATGAGGAGACAAAAAGGAAGAAATGGTAATAAAATCTTGTTGCGTTCCGACTATACGATGACGATGATCTCTATATAACATATAGGAAATAAATGGAGAATAATGTCTATGTTCAATTTAGAACTCGTTGGTTTTCTCCCTTTCGAATTGGGTATGTATTTGTATTACCATAGAAAAAATAAAAAAAAAACTATAATTATGAAACTCTATCTAAAATAGTAAAATCGATAAACAAATTATATAAACAAAAAGATTATATAAATCCCTAATATTTAAACAGACTGCTTTACAAAAGGTGAACAAATAAGCATAAATAAATTGTCAACAAAATAAATCAGAAGAATATGACACAGTATATTGCTTAAAAAGAATTCTTATGTGACTATGCTAAAATATGATACGATCGGAAAAACGGCAATGACTTTTACAGCTGATTGCCACATAAATATTAATGTAACGCAAATATGATGATATTGCCTCGTACTGTTATATAGCAATTTGTTGTCACATTGCTGAAAGTTACATGATGGAAATTCATTGTATCTAACAATAAAACAAGTATGCGTTTACACGTTATAGATTGTAACTAAATAAGTTGAGGAGGGGAAAACTGTTTGTCCCAAGTTGGTATTCAGAATTATGTCTGTATTTTGTAACTTGCCAATTTCCATAGGTTTAAATTCTCATGGATATCACTAGACTCGAGAGCAGTGTATGATTCCTTAGTTATGTTTTTAAAGGATAGTAAAATAACCATCTAAATAATTATGCATTAGTTAA